CCCCCACCCTCCGTTTTCTAAGATGCCAAGATAAATGAGGCGAAAAGCGCGTGGCACAACATAAGAATTTTTCTCTTCGGAATGTCTCCAGCAGGGGTACTGTTACATCACTACTTTCTTTTGTTTTGGGGCTTTATTCATATTCTGTTAAATACTTTTTTTAAAAAAAGAAATTCTTCGAAGTCATAACGTTTCGAAGGTGAAAAAAGGAATCGAATATATAAACAGATTTGGCTCAGACAGGGCAGGCGTCTCCCTAATGCACTAATCAAAAACTTTCCTTCGTAGCATTGCGATATTTTTAAGAAGTTTCTTTAAAAAAACCATCCAGGAGACGGACCTCCTCCACTCTTGATATCTGACCGATTATAAAAAACCACTACAAACATTTCACCCACGCAAGATCACGCTACATTTACGAAACAACATTGAATGTGATAACAAAGTACAATTGATCTAGAAGAGGATAACTTTCCGATATTTAATGGACATCTGACGAAGGATTGCATTTACAATATTACATTTGAATTTATATCGATTATACACCTGAAGATGGTTCATTGAAAACCGAAACACGTCGTGAAAAAGATGATGCTGTAATTGTAAATCGAACATTTCGATAGAAAGAGCATCATTTTAATATATTTTAATATATTTTAAATATTAAATGTTAATTATAGTAATAATATTTTAATATTTTAAATATTAAATGTTAATTATAGTAATAATATTTTAATATTTAATAAAATATTTTATTGTAATTAGACGGTTAAAATAAACAATTATAAACAATTATAACAATTATAATAATAACAATTATTAATACAAAAGTGTTGTATGTGACGGAATCAATTTACAGATTAACGCAAATGTCATTTCTCCACCTCGAAATTACTACACGGAAGATTCTCTACTAAACTTCTGTGTGACTTAAAAACCGTATTTGCTAATGAGTGTTTCTAATTTATCACGCGACTGAAATTGGTTATTTGTCTCTGCAAAACTTAATATCCACCCCCACTGCAAGACATCATAATTTACAGTACGATGAATGCGTGGAGCTGTTCATCCACTCGTCCATACGTCTTCGGGCGTGTTCATTAATTAAGCACGAGCTTCAATTCGTGCTACAGAGTGAGTCAATACAATTCCTGGTAGAACGTAAACAGAATGTTCATCACATGCATCTCAAAAGCCAGCCATTGCATCATTTTATATACCGGTCATCAGTTTAAATACTGTGCCAGCGGTTTCCGAACTGTGGTCACCGAACCCCAGAGGGCCTACAAATATATTACAGGGGCTCGTGAGATATTTTCAACAAATTGTTTGTGAAGGCCCCAACGGAAACCGCATTTATGAGGTGTTATGAAGACGATGAAGAGAGACTTTGCTGTTTATTTGAAGGAGTCTCATCTTCTCGGTTTGGTAAGAATGGTAGGCTGTGATTGGCTGTCGAAGATATACTAAGTACTTCTGGTACAAGGTTGATGGACCGGAGTCGAATGTCAGGCATCATCGTGCTCGTATGGAATTAGTCCGGTTATTGATCGAGCTTGGACAAGACGATACCGCTTTGAGTCAGTGTAGCAGCAAACATTACGGAACCGGTAACATCCTACCGGTGCGTACAGGAATTTCAGTTCCTTCCACATCCATTAAATTCATTATTCATTATCATTCGACGCTATTTATTCTGAGATACTGACAAACCACCTTACACGGTGGTCTAGCGGTTAGAACGCTGGCCTTGTAATCCTGGGGTCTCGGGTTCGAATTGATAACTTGTGTTGGGCAAGGCCGTGGTCTAGGCAACACGGAGTTTTCCTCCGTGGCATCCCAACAATTACTCCATTCACACACAGAAGAAGGCAATGGCAAACCACTTCTGGATCATCTGCCAAGAACGTATATGAACAGGTCCCAGTCCGAGAAAAGGATGGAAGGATCCTGTTCATATGGACCTGTCGTCAGCCAGAACACTAAATAAATAAAAATAAGTTTACATCTCACAGCGTCTTAAATTAGGGGTCAACGTGGCCGTGGGTTCGAATCCCACTCAAGCCATGGATGTTGTGCTGTCCTGTGTACAGGTAGAGGCCTTGCGACGGGCCGATCCCTCGTCCAAGGAGTCCTACCAAAATGTCAATAGATCAAAGCCAACGAAAAGTTGGGACTCGCAGTGCTCAGGAACTTGAAGAACGAATCGTTCCCAGTATCAAATTAAAGTAAGTAGTGTCTTGAAATGACGTCATTTAATACAGTTCTCTGGTATTGATAATTGTAGATATGTTTTTTAAAAACTGTATTGAATGCCGTATCGCAATGTCCCGTTGTGATTTCGATAAAATTTCATCAAAATATTTTGTCACGTTTACACGACGAATTAGCAGTTCCTGTCGCCTCAACACACCGTCGTAGCTTTCAGCCCAGGTCGTTCATCCTTTCAGTGAACTACGCGTTATTCTTTTGTTCTTCAACAAAAGGTTAATGTTTTGCGCATGCGTCACAGACAAACGATAATTACATATTCTGGTTTGAATATCACAATGTACAATTTAAGGGGTCTTTTTTTTATTCCAGCTGTGTTGATGTACGTGCTGAGGTACAGACTTGGTTACCACCGGATGTAGACAGCAAAGCGTTCACTTTCATTTTGCTGTCGGTCCGTCCTGACGCGGCTGGGAAAAGTCTCTAGCATTAATTTAAGTTTCTCTTCAACTAGGGCAGACATATTGCTGATTTTGTTTATCAGGCAGCATTCGTAAATAATTGTAATTAATGTATTGTACATAAATTCCATATATGGATAAATACAAGGAGATTACTGAATGACTGGAATTATGATGCCATCTACACGCTTACATCACTTCCGGTTTGGCAAGCGCTTCGTTTTTGTTTCACAGTTGGTACATGGTGATAAATGATTCAAAATTCAAATAAATATTATTCTGGTTATGGTATAGATTTTGACACCGTGTAAAGTCGTAGGTGGTTGTGAACGTTTGGAGAATCACACTCTCTCCATCTTCAGGGTGCCTTGAAAACTTTAGATCTCACAAAGATACTTCTTTGTTTTAAAACAACAAATCCACAGGAAATGGAGGTTTATTACAGATAAGATAATATCGAAGACGAAATTCTCCCCTCAGAAGGATAAGTAATAATAATAATAATAAAAACAAAAGTAATTCCAATAATTATAGGAGCAACTGGAACCATCTAAAAATCACTCAAAAAATATTTGGCCAACATCCCGGGCGATCACGACATTAAGGAACTTCAGAAAACTTTTGTATAAAGTGAAGCTTTCGAGGCGACTGAAGTAGATGAAAGACTCTCGGGTAAAAAGCCGCGTCAGGTGGCTGAATGGTGAATGGACCATTTCTTCTGCCAACGTTTCGAGAGCCATCTCTGCTCTTCAGAAAACTTCCATTCTAGGATCATCATACATCATTCGAAAGACGCTCGTGTAAAGGATATAATGCCTCACGCGAAATCTGTACAATGCGTGTAACACGTATTAAAAATAAAATGTATTTCGGAAATAGCTCCTGCATTATGTACATCAGGGGCAAGGTTTGTCTCAGGTTTTATTTATTTATTTAGTGTTCTGTCTGACGACAGGTCCATATGAACAGGATCCTTCCATCCTTTTCTCGGACTGGGACCTGTTCATATACGTTCTTGGCAGATGATCCAGAAGTGGGTTGCCATTGCCTTCTTCTGTGTGTGAATGGAGTAATTGTGGGGATGCCACGGAGGAAAACCCCGTGTTGCCTAGACCACGGCCTTGCCATATTACCTCAAAACAATGTCTGAATAAGTAATCTTGTCATCAAACGACAGCAACAGTGGAGTAAATGACAGAAACACGCTCTAAATTCCCCATGCCTAGGTTATCAGATATTAAGATATCTGCTCTTCAGGTCATCTGTTCCAGTCTGAGAAATATAATCAGACGACATCAAGCGCTCATAGATAATACTTCTCCGAATAAGTGCAAGTACAAAAACGCTTAGGTGTGGTGCAAAAAATTGCAACCCCTACATCTAGGTCTTCTGCTATTTTCCCAGCCAATCTCACAATCATCATTGTTTTCATAATAATAATAATAATAATAATAATGTTCTGGAAAATGTGCAGTTTCTCGTCGCTCTACTCACGAACTGAACGCGCACATCCTGCGAGCCAATTGGGTGATTAGTCTGCGGTCTGCAGTGGGGCTGCTGCTTGTCTGTTGCAGACGACGAGGACGACTCGTGTCCTGTGATCTGCGAGCGGGAGATGCGCAGTTTGCATCGCAACGTGCCGGCTCTCAGGCGCAGGGACATGGACACGTCGACCATCCGACAACACTACTACCCCGAGGGTGGCTGGGGCTGGATTGTGTGCGGGGTAGGCTTCCTGGTGCACCTCCTGACCTCGGGGATGCAACTCAGCTTCGGTCTTCTATACCTGTACACGCTGCGCCATCTGGGGGACGCGGCCCCCATGGACGCAGGTACGGCCGGCCGAGCAGGTCCGTAAATCACGCGGCGCGCAAGCTGTAATTACGCGGGGCGGAGCGCACGGTATTGCTAGGCTCTTCAACTACAGTCTTAGCAGGCTCCTCAACTGTTGTCTCCCCGCAGCGTGGCTGGGGGCCCTGTGCCTCGCCGTCTCCATGGCGACGGCCCCGCTCGTGGTGGCCCTCTGTCGCCGCAAGTCCACGCGCCTCACCGCTGTCTTCGGGGGCCTCGTGATGGCCCTGGCCTGTCTCTTCACGTCGTTCGCACAGCAGCTGCACCAAGTCCTGCTCAGCTACGGCTTGGTGCTGGGGGTCGGTACTGGGATGGCACGCGAGACGTCCAGCCTGATGCTGGGGCACTATTTCAAACGACGCCGAGAGTTCGTAGAGATGGTGGTGCAGTCGGGCACCGGCGTCGGCATCGCCCTATTCTCCGTGTTGTACAAGGAGGCAGTGGGGTGAGTGTATACAGGGCGGTGCGGTCAGGTTGCCCGTTGGCTCGCCTGTCAGTGACAGACTTGTTTGTATCCAATCGACAGGAAGTTGGGCTGGCGACTCGGCCTGCAAGCGGTGACTGGCGTCGTCGCACTGAGCTTTTTCCTCGGTGTCTTGTACCGCTCGGCGTCGCTGTACCATCCGCAGCGCCGCGCCATCCTCCACCTCAAGAATCAGCGAAAGAAAGTGAAAGAGAAGAAGGGGAGTGTCGCGGTGACCCACAAATCGCCTTTTCTAGACTTCTCGCCCCTGCGGATCCGCGCCGTGCAGATGCTGCTGCTGGCTTCGGCGACGGCGGCCCTCGGCCTGTACACTCCCGTGTTCTACCTCGCGCTGCAGAGCCGGAGGGAGGGCCTGGAGGATAGCGCCCTGGTACTCATGCAGACGTTCCTGGGCTTTGCGACTACTCTGGGCTGCGTGGGCTTCGGGCTGGTCGTGGCGCGTCCCAGCGACCAGTGTCTCATCTCCAGACAGTACTTGTGCCAGGCTGCGATGGTGGGCGTCGGTAAGACTCGGCTGTTGGGTTATCAAGAGTCGCACAAGACACGTTAGACCGGGAAACGGGCGGACTGAAGAAAAGTAGGACGACTTAGGATATCTTTGAACTTCCCTGTTAGATTAGACTGTCTTTTTTTATGACCCTAGCAACCGGAGAATAAATAAAAATAAATACCAATCTTCTAGTAATATCCAAGATTTATTCCCGGACTGGGTTGCAAATGACTGCTAATGATTCTGTGCTTTGTCTCTGATCATCGCTTTTCAGTGGAGTATCATCACGTATGGTTAAGCAAGAAATTCCACTTCTAAAATTCAGGCTAAGTTACTTCCATCTCGAGGTTAAACCTACGCAGTTGAGACAGCGCCGTTAAGTAATCTAAGATTCAATCACTCGCGGTAACTAAAGCTCCGACCGCTTTGTTCTCCTGTTTGCAGGCGTGTCTCTGCTGGCTTTGAGCACGGTGCAAGGTTACCATGGGTACGTTCTGTTCCTCTGGCTGTACGGAGTGTGTCTGGGGGGCTTCCTTTACTCGCTCAAGATGTTCACAATGGAGAGAGTCAGGGCGCGGTACTTCACCCGTGCCTGGGGCTTCGTCCAAGGCGCCGAGGCCATACCCGTGCTACTGGGTGTACCAATCACAGGTTTGTATTCCTTCCTCTCGACTGCAAGACCACGTGTTTACGTCTCGTCGTTGCAAGGCGGACGAACTAGGTGTTTGCGGTGTGATCGCGTGCTTCGGTACTCCGGGAACCGTTTAGTGTACCAAGCAATCACAATGCGACATTAAACAACGAGAGTGGAAGGGTCTAATTCGTACCGTAACACACATGTGTTCTTTGACAATTCTGAATGCTCCTTGCTAAAATAAATACACGCGTTATCGTTCACACTGCATTCGGTCCTACGAGAGTACAGCCCCGTTTTTCCTTTAATGCTACGTTACGTTCCAGGAAAACACCGCGTAATTGAAAAATCGAGGTTATGTAAAACGTTGGTTCAACTGCAATCGAAAGGTTAGGAGTTGATTGTCACACCATCGTGTGTGTTCTTTTCTATATAAACCCACACGGCCACACATTCTTTGTTCTATTAATATGAAACACACCAAGTTACAATGTGAACCCACACTGAAAGTTTTACAGTTCTCTGACAATGTAGCTTTTAGTCAATAGAATTCACTACTGGTGCAGAGCAAATTGAGATCTTTTAATATCTTCATATGTGGTGCACTTATTTGAATTTCTGTACACTGAGCCCTTCGTGGGTTAATTCAATGTACGACGTGTTAATAAGAATAATATAGCAACAGTCAAGGGTGATATATGTTTTTATTCGGTGTCACGTAAGTAGGGCTTAAGTCATTATAGATAACGCTTGACTTACACAGTTCTTACTTACCAAGCTGCGAAGACGTGTACATTCGACTGTCGTAATAAAATAAGCACTTCCGGTAAGGTACGTACTCTTTGATATCGTACGAGCGGCGCAAACAAATGACGAACGAGAAACGTCGTGAGGTAGACATTGAGGTGCTGCGATCTGGTGGCCAAAATGGTAATATCGAACAAGGTGGATTCAATTACCTGTAAATGCACGCTGCAAAGAACGCATGAAGATTTTTTTAGTGTATTACGGCACGGAATACACTTTCCGAGCTTGTTTTAAAGACAACCCGGGGCGAAGAATATAACATAACATATTAATTTGTTAGGATCAGTTACACTCTGAAGTAAGCAAATTCCCCTCAGGCTACATCAACCAGAGCCATCCGAAGGCTGGCTACTACTTCTCATTCTTGTCAACGATGCTCGGAGCGGCGCTGTTGTTCCTTGTGGGCTGTCCTAAGCGTCCGGAGGTGCCCGTCGACATCGCTCCGTGCTCCTGTACTTCTGTGTCGCCCGCCAGGCTCCACATGCCCAAAAGCATTTCTTTCGCCACAACCCTGGACCTCCCCCTCGGCTGCATCTCGGAGGAGGCTCTGCCCGACAGTCTCATGTTGGGCTACGACTTTCGGCCACTTCGACCCAGCAAGAGCGTACCGGAAGGCCTCGCCACGCGCCACGAATGGCGCCAGTGTCACCGACCTTCCGTGCGACAAGTGACGGTAATAGAACAAATGACTACGTCCGTGTGACGTCACGCTGATCTGTCTCTCTCGGAATCGTAGACCTTATGCAGTGACAGTGCAGTGTTTGTTGAAACTAAGTTGGTAAGACTTTAATGTATCGTCTTATAAACTTAGAGAATATACTTTCAGATCGACACATCTCCCTGTACGCTCAATGTTACGTGAAGTTTAAAACAGTTCCAGACAACATCGCACGGATGTCAGCCCCCAACCTCTGTCACCTGTAATAACTTTGTTATTCTTTCTTGTGTAAAAACGCAGTTTTAGTAAATTTGTTATTTACAATCAGCTTGAAGTTGACCTTTCACCTTTATACGATAATGTATGGAATATGTGCAGTCATAGCTTCGTGCCTCCTGAGTTCTTTCATGGCGTCGTGCGTGATGTCGCGCCTAATCTGAAGGGCCCCGAGTACTCAGGACAAGGACAAGGTCCAATGCCCAGCAACAAATGTGTAACTGTTATCTTCAGTACCTCCTACCCGCCGGATACTGGAGTTTCCCTGGGAGTGAAGGGGTTAGGACGTGTAGCTATCCGCTCCCCTCCATCTAGTGCCCAGGTTAGGAATGGAGGTAACGTTATACGCATGCTGCATTGTGATGCTGAATTTTCATCTTATTGAAGGTGAACATAATCACAATGTCCGTGCGAGGATTCGAAGTAAGTCATCCAGCCATTCCGTCCTATGATGATACTGCTTTCAAATAGACCTGACTGGCCCTTTCCAGTTCATAATGCTGATGCAACATCGTAACGTTCAGTATGTTATTTTATGAGCCAATAAGAAGTCTGAGATTTCTTTCCTACAGTTACTGCAATTTCATTTGCAGGGCTCCTGCTGCATACAAGGCAAAATAATTGGTCAGGTACCTGGAAACGCGGCCTAATCAATAAACATTTTAAATATTGCCTATAACTTTCCAACAGATGGCAGTAATTACCGAGTACTTACATTTCGCCATCATGTGACAAATATTCAAACTTCGATAACTAGTCTGGATTACCCATGTTAATCAACAAAAACAATGGGATATCCTAAAATTTAAATTAAATTTAGATTTTTTTATTCGTTTATATTTGAATTTCTAAGAAAAATTCTGTTTTATGGCATGGCATTTAAACTACCATCCCTGAATGAGATATTAAGATTAAATTAATACAATTTTAATGGAAATTAAATAATCTTCCCTGTGAGTATGACATATTTCGTTCAGAGAAAATAACTTTTAAATGCAAATTTTAAAATTGGCCTTTAATTTTTCAAAATGAGATCGTTCACTTTTTTTTTATGGAGGCATAGTTTATGCACACTGTTTAAACCCCAACACATAACTACGTTTCATGTTCGGAATGCCATGGGATTAATATAAAGCAAGTTGAAAATACGGCAGCTTGCTTTGAATGTTGTGTGTTGAACGTTTTATAAATACGATTTTAAACATTAATGGTATTGAAGTACTCTGAAGCGGATTTCATTGACTTAAGCAGTTTTATTGAATATCTGTGTTGCTGACATGTTTTCAGCATCAGTTACGTGATGGATGCATCGTGTTGTGGCCGTCTGTTTCACCTTTGTCAACAAAGCTGATAGACGAAACCATAAAATATATGGATGAGATGATAGATGAGGACCACTGAGGGTGAAGAAAGTTGATTTTTACTTCTTCGCGGATTTAATTTTTTTAGATTGCATGCAATCTAACTACCGAAAGTAATCGGAAACACAAATCACAAGTCGCTGAATGTGTTCCAAGCCTTGCATTATTTCATCGTGTGGAAATAAAAGTATTGTACACATTCAGAAAACAAATGGTAACACTGCTGCAAAGCTCACCTGTTTCCACAGACAGAAAAGCACGGCATTTCTGTGTACCACGAACAAGTCTAATTATTGAGAAGTGATGAAGCAGACAGTTTTCTTCCTAAGGTAATCAGGAGCTGATATACATGCAAAATTGAATTTGCTGTATTCGACTCCTCCAGGTCAAGGAGTTTTTGAGGAAACATAATCTGATCAGCGTAAAACCATGGTAAGTTATTCAGTGGCACCAACCATTTTACAGTGCCACCAAGGCAATTACTTGCACTTTCCACGTAAAATAACAAAAAAAGTAATTTAGCATGCATTCTAAAATCTTTACTATGCAGAGTGAGGTAATCTAACTAGCTAAACCCATACAACAGAGACTCTTAGAAGCTAACCGTATATTCAGGTGGAAATTGAGGTTTAAAATTCTTTTCCTGCTGGGCATTGCCAACCTGCCCATCACTAGTCAATAGCTCACACTTTATATTTCAGTGAACCGCAAATGTATGTTATCTGTGATATATATGGCGTAGTTATTCGTGATAAGTATGTTTGGTTATCCGTGTGATGAGTTTTATATTCTTTGAACCACTTCCTTCACCCCAAACCTCTTTGGAAGAAGAAAAGTACGTAATTCACGTGTTACCAACGTAGATTGTCAGCTTCACTAATTATATGAATGCACGTATCGAGACATAAATTGCTGTGCGTGTTCACCATGAATATAATGATAACATGATGACAACTACTGGTCTAAGTTTCACACTAAATGCATGCATGTAAGCGAACAGTGAACATGCATAGTACTAATGCAGTGAAAGAGAATGAAAGTGTCGTCGGGTCTGTTACCGAAGAATGCCGTTGTGTGTAGTACGGCGAATACAGATGGAGAAGGTTCGGTAATTGACCTAGGAAGCAAGTTCGACGATTTTACGAAAATTCAGGTGACATTTATCATGTTCATCCAAGACTTAATATGACTTGCTTACTCGTAGCGACTGGATTACATTAATTCACAATAGCTCACCATTCACTATACATCAATCCCCGTATGGTATTTTAACCAACATATTTTGACATAACCTGTTTTGAATACTGAACTGTTGGCCGTGTTATAAAATAGACCCCAAATTTGCTGCAAGATCTTAATTTATAACAAACATTACGGTGGCCGACTTACTATATTGTCTAGATGACTTGGATTTTACATTTTTGTTAAAATACTGTATTCAGGATGTGGGAAAAGTTGCAGACACAAGTGACAGGAATGTGTAGAACATGAAGAAACAAACTAAAAAATATGGCGGGGAAGTTGTCATCACTAGAGCTGAGAAAGTACAGTCAAGCTTGCAGTCACTCTGTGTCAGCACAAGAGTTCAGTGACTGTAATTTAAGGTCACACACTGTCAGTGCCATGGTCATAATGACTAACATTGACAATGCTCAGTGTGTAGTGTGCAGTCATATGTGATAATAGTCCATCAGCATGAAAGGTGAAATCAAATGGAGTACACCTTAAAGGAATATTGTGATAAGTACCTGATGATTGATATGTGTGGTGGTGGTGCTGATGTTGCAGTCATGAAATATGCAGAGAGGTACCTGGCATGCTGCCGTATCAATCCACGTGTTTCACCATGTGATACAGATATACTTCTTAATACATGAGTGTAGTTTGCCAGCTTCTGTGTTACCATTCATCTGTCTTCTCTTAATTGCCTTTGTGCATCAGCGTCACCACAGTTTCTGCACTGTTGCAACTATTCAAACTTTTGTTCCATTTGACAGTACTGTTGACACCATTATCTCTGTGACAACAACTTCTAGGGTATTTTGTTCCGCTGTTTTTTTTTTCTTTGCATTGCTCTATACATTCGTGTCATTTATGTTCACCATTTTCCCCAGCTCTGTATATTACAGGCCAGTGTAAAAACATACTTTCAGATGAAGGTTTCTGTCTGGGTTGTTGCGCTGTGTAGTCTGGAATATGTTAACCAATGTTTCAGTGGTCATACTGCCTCCGTCATCAGGATAACAGTGCAACAACCCGGAAGACAGAAATCTTCATATTCACTGTTGTGAAAACCTCAAAATCTTACATACTTTTAGATATTGGAAATTCTGTATGAAACTATGTTAGGAAGTTGTCTTAACTTTGCATTTCCTCAGTAGAACATTACATGGGAATTTTATTTCAATTCCTGAGACATTTACAAAAATATATTTTTGTAGGAAAGCACAAGGCCAGCAGATGAACACCATGTTGAGGAGGCGGAGCAGAAGCAGGGAGAGAGTTCTCAAGAGGAAGAAGACCAGAGCGCTGTTATAAGGTATGTACTGTGATGAAATGGCTTTACCATTGGTAATATAACATCACCATCCATAATTGCGGTTTTTGTGTTCTCTTATTTCAGGGGTGACAGGAGGGAATTGCTGGCTACCAAGGGTGATAGTGATGTCTGTGTGACTCTCAATGAGGAAACACTGTTTTCAGCTCATGGTCTGGACCTGTCTTTGCCACTGTTGTGTGACTTCTGTCCCAGAAAGTTTAATGACTTCAGCAGCTTTGATGCCCACATGGTGACACACAAGTGGGTGACTTTAGTTTCCTAACCCGAACATGAGTCTATGATCACTCCATAAGAACAATTAAAGTACCTTCTCTAGATATTTTATGAGTTGTATTGTGTGGTAATATTGATGTAACTTGTGAGCCATGCATTTGGAGATGTATCCTATTTCAATGTTTTGACAAGTAGGATGAATAGAATTGAATTTAATTGATTGTAATAGGTGCTGAAAATGTACAAATTTATGCACAATCACACTCACTAACTCACACAGACACTGTCACTGCATTCTCCAGATGTTCTTTTAAACTCTTTTTTCCATATGGTGATGATTTGTACACTTTATACTTCAGACTATCCCACAGGTAAAATTAACAGGGTTAAAGATCAGGCACATATGCTGTTCTAACCTGGACCCTGTTTTGTCCACTTTCTCTTCACTAACTAACCAACTAGATGGCTTAGGGAGCCTGAAGGTTCATCACCGAATTAACCAAAGCCCTCCACCGGACCCTGTCCTGGACCAACAAAATCCAGTCTCCTTCAACTCCTATCTCCCATACATCCAGCCTGACATTATCCTCCCATCTATGTCTAGGTCTCCCCAGCGGTCTCTTCCCCTCAGGCTTCGCAACCAATACCCAGTGCACACCTCTTGTCCCATCCATGCGCGCTACATGTCCCGCCCATCTCATTCTTCTCGACTTAATTACCCTGACAATATTAGGGGAGGAGTACAGATTTTTAAGTTTGTCATGCAGTTTTCTCCATGTCCCATCGTCTTCTCCCCTAGGCCCAAATATCCTCCTCAACACCCTGTTCTCAAACACCTGCAATCTGTGTTCCTCCCTCTGAGTGAGAGACCATGTTTCGCACCCATACAAAACAATAGGCAAGATTATTATTTTGTATACTTTAATTTTCAAGTTCTTAGAAATCAGACAAAATATTTTGAACTGAGAAGTAGCAAGCATTTCCAGAATTTAGTCTCCTCCTAACTTCCTCACGAGTGTCATTTTCATTTGTTATTGTTGTTCCCAGATATTTGAACTTTGTAACCCTTTCAAAGGATTTATTAGCTACCCTAAGATAATTTTCCCCGCCTGTCTTGTGATGACGAGATACTAACATGTACTTAGTTTTTTCTGAATTTACTTCTAGCCCCACCTGTCTACTAGCCTCTAGTAAAACTTCTGCGTTCCTCTTTATTGTATTGATATCGTCCCCCAATAAATTAACATCATCAGCAAATGCCAATAGCTGATGTGTCCCATTCAATTGCAAACCCTCCTGCCTATCTTGGACTTTCCTGGTGGCATATTCTAGCGCAAAGTTAAAGAGCAAGGGAGACAAAAGCATCTCCTTGTTTTAGACCATTCTTGATGAAGAATGACTCAGATACTCGAATTTTGCTACAGGTTTCATTTAACCACATTTTTATTAGACTCACCTTTCTCTTCACTAAGCATGCAAAATTTGTTAAAGGGTTGCATGTACGGAAGTGATCCTGAGTAGAACTTACTTGTGAAAAGGTTTGTTGTTGATCATTAGAATTGCGATCATGAAACTCAAAAAGTTTACAAAATTGGAGATTTTAATGAGACACTTTTTTTGGAAATTTGAGTGTGTAGACCACCAGTGGTACTTGACTGCGTCTTGCCTTTGTCATTTCAGAAGTACTTCAACCAAATTATCCCCACTCTGTTTTATAAATATAAATAATTGCCAGAGACACTACAGGACCAATATAAGAAGCTTTTGTTGAAACAGTAAACATTTAAGTAATTTTTCTCTATAGCATTGCTCTCAAATGTGGAATTGAAGAAAAATTTATACTCTGAATTAGTCACTTGAATCAAATAATGGGCTGCCTCAGCCTGATATTACATGTTGTCCTTTCCAGGGAATGTCGATTCTTCTCCTGTCAGTTGTGCAGCAACACTTATGTCTCTTGGGGCAACCTGGTCGCACATCGCAAGGCATGTCATCAAGGTCAGGTGTTGAGCTGTGATGTGTGTGGCCAACGAAAATACCACCCTGGCCTGGGACCTGTCAACTTCCCCGTGGGAGACAGTCCTGTTGGTTGTGAGGAGTGTGGGGAGGGTTTTACTACCATTATGCAGTTGTACCGGCACTATCGTGTCCATGGCACGCACCAGTTCATGCCTCACAAGGGGAAACTGGCCAAGGTATTGGATATATTTTAACGAGTTTCTGTTGAAAGCCACTTCAGTTCAGTGGTATCTATTAGGCATATGCAGTTCTCAAATTGAGAAAAGGAATATCTAAATTTCAATTCAAACATTGATATTTCATTTCTGAACTTAAGGAGTTTTCAAATAACCGCTTTTACTTTGTGTAACAGCATCACACCACCCTTCCAATGGAAAATGCAACGATTAGTATCTGTAGCATGAATGAACTCGACAAAACTACGTCTTTCTCCATTCCTGTACATGGTGCCATGATTGCAAATCTCCTACCACCAACTCTTCTCAGTATCAGAGTACAAGTACTCAGGTCTGTGACTTGAGTCATCTGGTTGCAATGTAAAACCTCAAATCTGTGTTCCCAAAATATTTGTTGTCTCTTAATTCACATAATGTTTTTCACTTCCATTCTTTCCCTGCCATTTTACTGTGTTAAGGCGACTATCTTGTGGGTTGTAGCATTGTGTAGTCTTGTGGAGGTTTACTGACGTTTCAGATGTCTAGCTGCCTCCATCATCAGGGTGATGATTACCCTGATGATGGAGGCCCTTCCACCAGACTACACAGTGCTACAACCCAGAAGACAGCTGCCTTCAGGCTCACTGCTGGGAAAATCTGAAATCCTACTTACTGGTGTTCGTTCAAACAAAATATGTTTTCATTTCATTAGCACTTTTGGAGTTTTGTGCTATTTCTTATGACTGGACAGCTTTTCTTTCCACCATTCACTACTCTGAGTTACTTGTCATTTTGCAAGTATTGTTTTAGTGTCTGGTTTATCGATTATTATTTACTAATTTTACACTGGAAATTATATATAACTAGAGGACCTTGATCAGGCTACTTGTACATCATATGGTACAGTCATAAATCAGTCAAAAGTCTACAGATAGTTGCAGTTGGGTCCGCTATGACTGACGTCTGTAACTGAAAATACATATTTCTGTTTAACTTCAAAAGTTTTTTTTTTATGAATGTTCCTTCTGACAACTCCACTACAAGAAATGACTGGTTCCACAATTGATCTTTTGCCAAATGTTCTGAATTTTTTCTCCTAAAGGCTGATAAATCTGAATTTCTTTTGTATTTTCTTTGTATATTAAGTGTCTCTGGTATTGAGGTGTCATTTAAGTGTGATGTTTGGTCTGTTCTGTATGATGGTTCATCAGTGGTGATGATCACAGATTTGTTGATTTATTTTTATCAACTGCTTAATTATTATTTTTAAGTTAAGAGATAACTTATTTTTTTAATCAAACAGGTCATTGTAATGTATCAAAATTGTATGTGGGCCACACAGAATACAGGTGGGGTGCTGATTAATAAATTGTTTCGGTCTCTAAATTACATTCATATGTGTAGATCATTTTTTCTGAAGTTAGATATAATATAACTTATTTGAAAACCTAATACTGATATTTTTATGTCCCGTTGATTGCAATTGGTTGTTATTCTAGTAACCAATAACTAACTAATTAACCAGATGGCTTACCGAACCCGAAGGTTCATCACCGAATTAACCAAAGCCCTCCACCGGACCTTTTCCTGAGCCAACAAAATCCAGTCTCCTTCAACTCCTATCTGCCATAGATCCTGCTTGATATTATCCTCCCATCTATGTCTAGGTCTCTTCCCCTCAGGCTTCCCGAGCAATATCCGGTGCACACCTCTTGTCACATCCATGCGTGCTACATGCCCCTCCCATCTCATTCTTCTGACTTTATCACTCTGACAATACTGGGGGAGGAGTACAGATGTTTAAGCTCATCATTACCAATAGATAAGATAGTTATACTTTGCTATATTTTGAATCTCTTATGCTATTTAATTGTGATAATATTGTAATTAGCTAATAGTGGCTTGGTTAGTCAAAAATTCCCTGCCTTTTAAGTGCCTGAAGGTTCAGTTCCATGTTTGTAAGAGCCTTCCCTTTGGAAAATGTACTCCATGTTGGAGTAAGCATTTCAGAATACTAGAATGAAATTTACATTATTGCATCTCCATTTCTTTATCTAAATTTCAACCTTCTGTAGCTGTTCTTGTCACACATAACAGTGTGGGTGCTTTGTTCCAGGTGCCAGAACGAGCTGCTAAGGGCGCTGTTGACCAGCTGTTGGTTATGCCTTCCAGTGACTCGTGTCATGTGTGTTCAACCGAATTCAGAAACCACAAGCATGTGGCAGACGACATGGCAAAGCTGAACGATGATCATACACGCTGCGCTTGCAGAAGTTGTCATTCTGAGTTTTGTAATGCTCATTCTTCAGTGGAGCGCAAGTGTCCGCAACCTGCGTCTACTCCTCATTGTCATACTTGTGTAGTCTGTGGGAAAGTCATGCAAAACCTTGCAAGTTTCCAACAGCACTGTACCACACACAGTGGTGAATGTCATTATAACTGTGACAGGTGTCTCAAAACATTCAGCTTCACATCTAGTCGTGAACATCCCAAGTACTGCCAGCCCCTCATAAATGACTATCACTGCCAGAACTGTGATCAGGAATTCTCTGAATGGTGTGGTATGACAGAACATGTTGAAAAGAAACATGCTTCCTCAAATGAAATGCTGACATGCAGCATTTGTGGCCAATCGTGGCTGTCAGGAAAAGAATTTCTTCTTCACTACCAAGCCTGCCTTACGGAGAAGCAGACTGAGAACACTGCAAGACATCGTTTAGATACAACTTGCTCAGTCTGTCATAAGGTATTCTCACAACCATTTGCCCTTCGTCGTCACCTGAAATTGCACGGTCCATTGAGTCACTGTCGTATCAGTTCATCGTGTGGAGATCACCAGGATCAAGTTCTGGTGCAACAACATCATAAAGCTGCATTTCCAGGAAATTACAAGGAATTGCAGCATTCTTCAGAGTGTAAGCAAAGGTACCGCACGAGTATGAGCCGTAAGAGTTTCATATGCGAGTACTGTGGTCGGGAGTTCAAGAAGAAGCTAAACCTACAGCTGCACGTGAGACGGCACACTGGGGAGCGGCCGTACAGTTGCCAACTCTGTGGTAAAGCTTTCTACACCAACCAGCAGCTTGCTATCCATATCCGACACCACACAGGTGAACGCCCCTACGCTTGCAGCAAATGTCCTAAAGCGTTCACAGGCCCTACTGCATTGTATGTCCATAGAAAACTGCATGACAAAGTGAAGCGTTACCTCTGCCCTCACTGTGGAAAGCGCTTCTTCTGGAGATCAGCCTTTGTTGGTCATATTCGCCTGCACACAGGAGAACGGCCTTATCGTTGCAGCATCTGTAGTAAGTCATTCACTCTGAAGGGCAAGCTGAATCTTCACTTGAAGAAGCATGCTTTGGAGGATACATTGGCATGTTCAGACTGTGGGGAGAAGTTTGGATCCGAAGCTGAACTGAATGCGCATCGCAGTGAGCAGTGTTCTGTCACACTGGTGACTTTTGTGGAGGAGGGTCCATCTGGTGAAAGAGATACTCGTATCATCATTGTTAACACAGAGGATCTGAAGCAGAACAACATTTATATTGATGATGATAAAGTGGTACAGCTCGTGGTCTGAGGGATTAATTTAAGTTTAGGACATTTGCTGATACTGCAGTATATTGGTTTGCTATGCATCAGCTTTGGATAATGTTTTATGTCAAAGGTAACATAGATACCATTGCATTAGGAACATGTTATGAAATAAAAATCCTGAACAGTGATATCTGTACCTGTCAGTTCATCTGAAATCCTTTTACTTTCCAAAAGTACTGAATGACAGAAAGTAATTTTCAGATTTCTGTTTAAAACAGATCCAAACTATGACATTTCTCTTGAATTACAAACCTTTTGGAATAGACAGATATTTTAATTACATTTACACTGTAATTTATTAGAAATATAAAAATGTTTTGTAGAATAAATTAGTTTAGAAGACCTATTTTCTCATTACTTGAAGTGAACTTGTATAATGTGTAGAATAGTTTGTCCTTAATCATGTTTCTGATAGGGAAATTGTACAGTAAGCTTGAAATGGTGACATGAAATGATACATATGTAAAATACCGGGTCTTCAATTTATGACGCTGAGGTTGTGCTTGGAGTGCATGGTCGGCCGGCGCTCTGTTGATGTGGGCGGGAGTTTTGCGCGTTCTTCCCATGAGTCACCGGCGAATCAGTTTTCATTGCGTCTCTCGTAGCGGACTGACATTGATAATATGGTGTACAGTATTAAGCAACGTGTGTTCTTAGTCGAAACATATGCCAAATATTCATCCTATGGAAGATGCCGCCGTAAATTTCGCAGACATTTTCCTGGTGTAAGTGTTCCTAGCAAGTCCATGATAGAGAGAGTAGTAAAAAAAATTCATAGTATGGGATCAGTTTTGGATAAAAAGAAGAATAGGAAACGGTGTGTATTGACAGAAGAGAAATTGGGTCTTTCTTAGAAAAAAGTCCAAGGAAATCTTTGGCTGCACAATCTGGCATGTCATTGGGATGTGCTCAAACAGCAACGAGACTTCTGAAATTGCGACCATGTAAGACCACTGTTGTTCAGAGACTCACAAATCCTGACAGTGGTGCTAGGATCCATTTCTGCAAATGGCTGTTGGGATCCGTGCATGATGGGATTGTTAATCCAGAGCTATTGTTTTTTAGTGATGAAGCATGGCTGCATTTAAGTGGATATGTCAACACTCAAAACAACCGCTACTACAGTTCCGGAAATCCACATCAGTTGCATGAACATCCTCTTCATGACATTAAGGTTGGAGTCTGGTGTGCAGTTACCTCCAAGAGAATAATAGGGCCAATCTCTTATAATGAAACCATAAATTATGAACGTTATGTAAATTTAATACTTAGACCCTTTTCCCAAGAAATGACCGATGAAGAAAAGACTTACGGTTTCTTCATGTAAGACAATGCTACAGCTCACACAGCTGATCGGTCGATGTTAGCATTAAGAGAAGTGTTTGGTGAACAAGTTATTGATCAGTGGCCTCTGCGTTCCCTAGACTTACACCCGTGCGATTTTTACCTGTGGGCCATGTTGAAGAACAAAGTTTATGTAAACAATCAGCACACTGCAGAAGAACTTAAAGAAAATATTCGACAATTTCCCAAGAAGAGCTTCATCGAGTATTTAGAAACATGTTAACGAGATGTGAAGCTTGCCTGCAAGCACAAGGAAGTCACTTTGAACATCTTTTGTGATTTAGGGTAAGAGCAATTAATGTAATAACATGTATTAGTGATGAGAAATATTCATAGTTCGCTGTTACTAGTGGCACTGAAACTGATTCGCCGGTGACCTACCGGAGAAACACGCACAACTCCCGCCCACATCAACAGAGCGCCAGCCGACCACGCAATCCAAGACCCTATGTACTTACATATGGGATGGTTGATGGCCATAATCTGCTAACTAAAACCACATGAAGCAGAGGTATTTAACAAATTACCCGCCTTTTGTACAACCTGAAGGTTCATTACCGCATTCACAATAGCCCACCATCAGTCTCTGTCCTGAGCCAGATGAGTCCAGTCAATATCTCCAAACCCAGTTTTCCTAAGATCCGTTTTAATATTATCCTACCACCTATGCCTAAGTTTTCCATGTGGTCTCCTCCCTGTTGGCCTTACAACCATAATATTACACATATTTTTAACCTCCTACATGTGTACATGTCCAACCAATTTCACTATCCTCAATCACCCTATTATATGGTAAACAGTATGACTTGTGAAGCTCTTCATTATGAATTTTTTCATACTTCACAGATCCAAAAATATTTTCTTGTACACCCTGTCATCAAATTATCATCTATAACCTTCCATTAACCTGAGTAACCAGTTTTCCAACATACAAAATAACAGGTAGAACTATAGTCCTGTAAATTTTTGTCTTTAGATAGATGGGAAGACAAAAGATTCTGAACTGCATGGTAGCAAGTCTTCTCTGAATTTAGTTTGCTCTTAATATCCAAGTAAATGTAATTCTAATTTGTTAATATCATTCACAAATATTTAAACATTGCCACATTTTCAAAAAACTTATTAGCTACCTTTATATAATTTTGTCCTGCAGTCTGGTGATGAGATGTGAACATATAATTTCCTCTGTTTACTTCTAGTCCATCTTCCTTAGTATTAGCTAATACAATTTCTTTGTTCGTTATGTTTTCTCCCAACAATTTAACATCATCAGCATAGACCAGAAGCTGACATGTCCAATTCAGTTCCCTGTCTGTAGTTTTCTTGGCCCTATGGCACATTCTAAAGTAAAGTTGAAAAGCAATGATGACAAAGCATCTTTTTGTTTTGGTCCGTTCTGAATACAAAATGAATCAGACAAGTGCTTACACACGGATTTTACTATAAATTTCAAATAAACATTTTAATGTAACTTGTTTCATTAGTTTACTGAATTCATGAGATTGTTGTATGTTTTCCGTCTAACTGAAATAGAAATGTGAAGGTAAGCACATCAAACAGCTTAATCCCTAGCTTCAGGCCTGTTGCGTGTCGATCGTTGAGAGTCCGTCTACACAATTTTTCATTAATAAACATAGACTATAATCAATAGTTGCGTAGGACTGTCAGCCTAACGATAAAGCTCTATCCCTTCTACCAATTCATAGTCCTTATATTATTCACTTTCATACAATCGAGAATGAATTCGTAACACTTCAGTATCTCAATTCCACATGCATGAAAGAACACACGATTACTTCGTGCTAGCGACATGACTTTTACATACAACATATGTTAAATTTCAGAAAAGGGCATGACAAATTAGATTAGATTAAAAAAAACAAGCACTGTTCCCATTTCGCTTCGCTTGGTTACAAAAAAAGCGCCCTGGGCAAACGACCTGCTTCTATTCTACTATTTTGCTAATAAATTGAATGACTCGCGCAGGCCTCTTGTAAGAAAATGACTATAGCTGAATGAAATTAAATAATGGCGACGGTAGTATGATCACGTGATCAACGCGCTCGTTTCCAGTCGTAGGTAGTAGGCGCATGCGTAAAAGTTGTTTACAACTCTTACTGAAGATATACACATGACCTTTTCCAAGATGGTTGCTGATGCGTATATCTATAATTTGTGTGGTTATAAAAATTGGACTTTATTCAGTAGACAGCTATGTTTGCCAGTGTCTGCAGCTGCTAGAATGATATTGTTATTGAGTCTAAGATTTTGATGATACTGGAACAATTAAATACATATTTTCTTATAGTGAATTATTGATTTTTGTCATACCACATTTTCCGTCTGGTAATGCGTACGTTTTGAGTGTGGAGTGTTATTATAGCTTATGTTACTAGTGTCATAAGTTTTTTGCCGTTTATTAACACCAGAGGACAAAATTGGACCATTGATACATTTGTTTGTTACGATTAGTATAAATTACATTTCATTGACCTCGAATAGTAGTGTTTTGGATATTGCGCAGAAAAAAAACCCTGCCCTTGGCAGAATAGCCTATTTTCCCACCGAGGTGTCGTGTGTGATGACAGTGCGACAAGGAAAACAATTATATAAATTGACTGAATCAAGCACGACGAAAGATTAAAGGGCTTGACTACGGTGGAAGAACAAGGAATTAGCTGTGATGTCAAAACGTCAGTTTCCCAATGTTGCAGCCTCTTCGCAGAAACAGAAAAGTTTTATGCGTAGGTAAGTATAAATCTGCCTATTCATGGTAACGTTTTACATTTGGGGGATTTTTATACAAACTTCGCAGCATCGGGTGTTCAGCACGCAAATAATATGAATTTCGTGATAACCGTTTTGGACTGCGACTTCAAGTTACTTGAGAGGGAAAGTTTTACAGGTTTTCCGTTTGTAGTGGATTGTATACAACGTTTTGTAATTTTTCTTTAGTTATGCTCAACATTATCTTTTATTTCAGTTGCATTGCTGTTTTATGTTATGCTACTTCTGCTTGGTGCTTGTAACTGTAATACAGAAAAAAAATGAAATAACAGTGTTATTAATTTGTCAACTAATTTGGACTGACTAGATCTTCTTAAATCTGTTATTTATTAAGGATCATAGTTTTAAATGACTTTTATAAAATACAAATATCTGCATTTACTAACAACAAACAGTATGAAGATGTTATGCCCAGAGGTCTGGTATAAGTATACTGACATTTCAGAGGTGCTTACTGCCTCCATCATCAGGGTGCATCTTGATGATGGCGGCAGTAATCACTTCTGAAATGTCAGTAATCATTTACCAGACTACATGGTGCAGAACTCTAGAAGACTATTATCTTCATATTCACCAGTGTGAGAACCTGAAATCTCATCAACAGATAGTCCATTTGCAGACTGATATTCTCTTGCATGCTTGCCAAAATAATTGAGATTCATTTTAGATTGAAAATTAAGATAAAGGTAAGTTTATTTTTTGTTATTGTATATTAACATAAGCTGTATATTGTAGCACTTGATATAGTGGCATTTTCATACTCATGCATAAGAAATTGTAAAGTGGTGAATTATATATCAATCATAGGAAGTGTGAGTTATGGTGTGATGACGTGATCATACCTTAATCCTATGCGTCTATATTATAAGGTATTATAAGTAAATTTAAGTGAACTGTAGTGGAATAGAACTTTTTTGAATCCTATAAAATATGTATAAGCTATTGTAAGTGAATGTAGTTGAAAGTGAGGCATGACAAAGTAAATATTGTGTGTAACAGTGGGTACAAGTATAAATCTTTTTAGATGTTATACATTACATAATATTGTCAAAGCTTAAGATATGGTAGGTAAATGAAATGAGGTATCCAGAAAATGTGGTTTTTGCCATGGGAAGGTAGTTGGGGTATATTATATGATGGCCATGAATGATGGTGTCATTGGTTATGTGCCATTGCCATAAGTAAGCCATGGCATTGTGTACCGTTTATTCAGGGAATGGGAAGGTATTGTCGATCTGCGGAGGAAACTGGGTTTGGTTCCAAGCCAGATTGCTAGTTTGAAATATAATCACATGTCTAGTAATAAATGTAACCATTTCTCTGCTTTTTTTTGGCAGATGTTAAAACCAAATCCAATGCAGAATCAAAAGTCTGTACTCCATCAAGGATCTGAAATTCATTGTAAGCCTTAGCAAATAATTTGAGGCTCTGGCTATGCTGTAGCCTTCAAAAGTTGTTCAGGTCATGCATAGAGAGGATGCAAAACCTATACTTAGTGATGAGAAATAAAAGAATGCTCTGCTTCTATGCAGTAGCCATGATAGAGGATTGTGTGAACACCTTCACTGAACCATCAGATATGAAACCCAGTGCTGTACTTTTCAATGTTGTAAGAGTATCTTAGACCATTAAGTAAAAATTTCACTAAAGAAGATGTAATTGTAGTCACAGAACAGGCGGTAAGTAGCCACTAAATGTATTTCAATTAACCAAACTGAAAAGGACATGGACAACGTTGCCAGAGACAACTGTCACTCTAATGTTGGATTTGTTGGCGTTTTGGCATAACAGGCATAATATGAGCAGGTGGGTTAGGATTGTGAATATTAGCTTTATTGTGCAAGTCTGACTGCTGAAAAGTCTATAATTTGATTGATTGACGTATCATCCTTGGGGAGGGGGGTTTATAATCACACTAGATATGGATTATATTTTAATCTTGGTGATATAAAGGGAAGCTGTACAACTCTCTGCTGACAGATTAGGTATAAGCCAGGTTCCTGTGAATGTTGGTGAATGATCAAGGCTGTTTCTGTGATAATGACCAAATGGAGAACTCAGTACCTGAAAGATATTAAAATTATCATAAGTCAATTCTAAACTTAAAATTCTGAACCATTGTAGCATTAGAGGTCTTTCAAATAAAATTTATGAATTATTATTCACTGTTAGTGCACTCACGTGTATTGTATGAAACTATTTTATAAGTTAATCTAAAAATTATTTAAGAAATGCAATATATTTCTCTCTGTAAGTGAATTATTACTCTGATTACTGTTGTTTCAAACAAATTCTGACATACATGTTATAAACACAAGTGATAAGTATGACTCCATATGCTGAATTCTAACCATACTAGTTATCAGAAAGGTGCTTACTATGAAAGGGTTAGGTTACTTAGCCATCTAGCATTAGACATTTACAAAGTATTTAGTCCAGTGTTGAAAGATCCTCTTTTATCCCATTTCTTCTCTGTAGAACAGTTTTCTTAATTTGAAAATTCTCAAATATTGTAAATATTTATATAAACAGCTGTGCAACAATGTATTAATTTGTATATTTTTTGCCAAGTCTTGATATTTGTATTGTGGCGTGTTCCACATCCCTGACTTGTAATACAAAGGATCCGTGGAATGTAAATAAATTCTGTTCTGTTCATTCTGTTTCATTCCGCTCTATTCTATTCTGTTGTGTTCTGTTTCTACCTAATTTTTGCCAAGAAAATGTATGATATGTATATTTCAGTATTTAGAGCAGGGGTTTGCAACTTGCAGTCTTCATACTTATCTGATATTAGGAAAAAAAATCTTGTTAATACTGTCAGTATTTGGCAGTAACTATTGCTGTGAGCAATTTTTAAGCTTAATGATAAATGGCAAGTCAGGAAGTAGGATACGTTTTACTGGTGAACACTTTGAGGAATGCATGCTAATCACAGCATCAGAAATTGTACTTGATATTGAAAGATTATTCAAGCAAAGGCATTGTCAAATATCTCGTTCTTGACTGATTTCATTAAAGAAAATTGTCAGGTAATGTAAAACCTATTCATAATAGTTAGTAACACTGTTAATAATTTGGTATGAAGTTTCAAAATATTGTCCACATTTATAATTCTGTGGCATTCAAGTTGATACGCAGGCGTGAATGTGGCCCTCGGTCTGGAAGAGGTTGAGAATCCCTGTTTTAGAGGTTATGTGTCTGATGTGAATGACATTGCAGATCAAGGTCTTGGGGATGCAAACAGACACGTATAGTTTTAATAGGAGAGGTGGGAGCAATTTGAGAAAGAGGGTCATGTGTATCTTTAGTCGTCGTTATGTTGTGTTTCTTCAGCTTGTTAGTCCAGCTGATTTTGGTATTGACATTTCAGCATTTTTATGTAGTTTTGTTCTGGTGCTAAAGCTTAACGAGTGATTGCTGTTTTTTACCGTCATGAACAGAATGTTTTTGAATTCCATATTGGTGAAACTTTACTTGATTATTTGTGTATGTGCATGCTAGAATGTTAACTTGACCAGATTGTTAAGTGCTGTGTCGCTACTTAATTTTTGTGTGTCTGCAGCTTGCAGATTTCTTGTGCTGAGTCCCATGTGGTAACTGACCTAGTTCCAACATGTCTTTAATGAAAACTTCTGTCTGCGATGCTGGTGGACATTGCTATGATGGACGGGGTGGTGAAATTGTCAAGATGGGGTATCTTCGTAAACTCAAGGTCTGTAATTAGGGTTTGAAGTTTTACTGCAGTTGGTCTGAAGATGGCTGTATTCTGTGTTGGGCCAACTCTTTCAAATGAGTATTTATATGCGTCATGTGGGATGTTGTGTTGCAGACTATGAAGAAGCGTTTCTTTATTCTGCGTGGAGATTCGTCTGAGGCTTCAGCACGGCTTGAATACTATGAGGATGAGAAGAAGTGGAAGAAGAATCACTCCCCCAGAAGGTATTTATAGTTTACAAAGTTACAGTCTCAGCAGACAAAGAATGACACTAAGGCATATGTTTGTAACCTGTGCAGGGCCATCTCCCTGAAAACGTGCTTTAACATCAACCGCCGTCAGGACACGAAACACAAGTATGTGATTGCCCTCTACACGAAGGATGACTGCTTTGGGCTTGTGCTGGACTCTGAGGAGGAGCTGGAAGATTGGTTGAAGGCTCTTCTCTCCCTTCAGTATGGGGAGGACATTGTAGATGGAGAGGAGCCAAAACCCACATTTGGTGAGTTTTGTTGTTATGTCAGCAATGTGTTTGCTTGTGTAGTTGTGCATTGTCTTATGATACATTTGTTGCAGAACATGTGTGGCAGGTGACAGTGCTGAATAAAGGCCTTGGCAACACTCGTAATATTCTGGGTCGCCACCTGTTGTGTCTGACTGACAGAAGTCTGTCTCTCGTTAAGCTGAGCCAGGAGGAGAGGGCCGAGACTTATGAGTTCTCGGTAAGTTGTCTGTTAACCACAGTCTTTCTTACATTCCTCCTTTCTTTCTTTCGTTATGTTTTGTTTCTCTGTTATCTCATTTACTATATTTTGTTCTGCTGTATCTGTTACTCATCATGTGTGTTGTAGCTTGTGAGCATCCGGCGCTGTGGACGCTCTGACTGCTTCTTCTACATGGAGGTGGGGCGTTCCTCATGCACAGGTGAGGGAGAGCTCTGGATGCAGACTGAGGACACAAACATTGCTGACAACATGCATGCTGCCATCCTTCAGTAAGTGATAATGTGATTAAACTTCTTGGAACTCTGTCGTCACACTTTTGGCATATAAGGAAAGTTTTTATAATGAGTTTTTTTTAGTTGATATTGTTATATGTTTCAGTGCTATGAGTAACAACAGTTCCAAGGAGGAGCAAGTGCCACGTCCCCGCTCTTCATCCACCAACGAAGTCTCGAAACCCATCGCCATGTTGCAGAGGCGCCAGACACATGTGGGCAACAGTTCTGTTAAAGGTAATTTATTTTCTTGTAGAAACATTTACTTATTCGTGAACAACGTGAGGTTACTGATATGGTTTCCTGCCAACACATATTCTATTTTTTGTGTTATTGGACTGTGTAAGGTGTACAGTGAAACATTGTTTCTGCTTGATCAGTAGTTTATATTCACATACATTGTTTAGTATGGATTGGATGCTATTTTCGATAATGCATTGTCAACTGCAGTCATTATTTGTTTTCAAAAGGAGATGCATTTTGATAGTAGTTTTTGTCATTTAAACATGTTTCCAGTGTACTTTAAGAAAGGTAAAAGAGTTTTACATAAATGTTTTCAAAGTAGAATTGTGACAGTTTTGTACGTATGGTATGATGAAAATACAGAATATAACATGCTCTGTGAAGAGGGCAACGATAAGCAGTTTCTTCTCCGCTCTGTGCACATGCCCTGTAATTAGATATCATAGATGTGATATTCACAAGATGAGCTTGGATCGATACACTCGTTATTTGTGATTATAAATGGGACAGAATAGCACGTTGCTTTCCAGTCAGTTCACCATGTGTAAGTTGCTCAAAAACTAGTTCTTTCACTTTGTATTTGTTTGTGTCTATTCTTATGAATTCTGCATGCGGATAGTAGGGTCACACGCTTTATGTTGTGTATGACATATTTCTGTAGCATAGTTTTACAGTGTTGAAGTCACTTGCATTATCTACAGTCTAATGAATATCTGTAGTACAGTTAGATTTGCTGCTTGAATTCTGTGCAATTTGACATATCTCTAGCCCCTGTGTTACTCTAGAGAAGCTGCCTTTAACAGCTTCTGTAACTATGTGCTGGTAAAGAAAAGCCATTCTATTTGTGTGCTGTAGTGTTTATTAGCTTAGCTTGCCGATGGCTTTTGTGGTTGTTACAGAAGCTGTACTCCTCACCAGTAGCACCACCCGCGCAATGCCTACCAACGAGGTGGACTCTCATGGTCAGCCTCATCAGGGTACAGTGCCTTTGTTTTAGAGCATGCTGCTTGCATGTCATGGTCACATGTTAACTGTTACGTAGTACTTGGACCATGCCTTTTATAGCTAATACATGTTATAAGAGGCTTAAAACATGCATTTCAGATGTCACAATATATCCATGAGTTCTGTTTCTTTGTTCTGCACACCTATGTTAATATGTTCTGAATGTTCATACAAGAACCCCAGAGATTTCTTGCTGTCACAAGAACAAGAACCACTTTGCTAGCTTCACCACAGAGGAGAAGTTGACCATGAAGCAAGTGTTAGAATTTCAATCTCTCAAATAGCAATGTATCGATGCCACAAAGGATGTGGATTTTTTCACATTGCAGCATCTTTTATGTTTAACACTGAATTGTTTAGGAAACACATGTGGAATTTGAAAACTGGACCAACAAGTGACTACTGGGTAGCTATAAGGGATCTTTATGGTTTTAATCTTTTATTGCTTGGAGAAAGTTTAAGGTACAGTTGAAATGTATACCATTTGGAAAGATCAACTCGGAAAGTTTCAATTTTCTAAATCAGAAGAGTCCAAAATTTGGTCCATCATTTACACTTTTAACAGTATCATGAAGTAAGATTTAAAACTTTCATGAATGTTATAAAATCCTCTCAGGTGATGAGCCATGTTCTTGTTGAGTTAAAAGCCAGTATTCAGAGACTTAGCTCTGTCTCCATCATGAGGGCCGGTGTGAGGAATGACCAGAATTTGCTTATATGTGTTTAGATAGTGAAATGAAATTCTTGCGCAAGTTCTACGTATTGTGATTCTTTGTTAAAAACGCAAGTTGAAAATGTTTTACGACATATGTTCTGAGAGACAGTTTCAAGATATACATCATTGTCAAATGTGGGAACACTTCTTGGCAGTGTTATTTGTCATGATGATGCTTAACGCGCATTGCTAAGTGTACTCAAGACACAGTGTAGAGCAGGGCTCATTTTTGACCAGATGATCATGGAATACGCACACGACGAATACTGTGACGTTTTCATAACCCTTGGTGCTTGTAGTGGTCAAGCTAATACTGCTGCATGGGAATGTGTGTTACATTATCCTGGTTGACATCATCCAGACGCTAATGGGTTTCGATGACTGGAGCAGCTTCTGTGTGAGACAGGACGTGTAACACCTAAACGCACGTGAATGCAGCATGTAGCTGTACCTAGTGGCCAGAATGTGTGGCAGGCTGCAAACTAGGGGCCAAATTGAAATTTCTGGTTGATCATTTTGACTGGTATATATGTCATTTAGATATTCTCGGAGTAATGCAAGATAAAATATTGTGAGGATTATTTATGGACATAAGGCTATGTATATAAGGCTGGTTTTTCAATGGTAATCAGTTAATTTAGAAATCTTGTTGCTTGACTTCATGCCAGGGAACTCTTGAGCAGTGATGCCATCAGGAATATTGGGTTGTCAGCTTTAGTTTGACACACATGGACGTAGATATGCACATGTAAAAGTGGGAAACACTGAACGTTGTGGGTGATGCAAGGTGTAGACTTTTGAATTACAGTATAGTTTTTGACAGAATTAGAAGGCATTGCTTTCACATAACGTGTGTCCGATTGGCATTGGGTAATTGTGTTGTTTAAGTTGGGGAGTGAAGATGTTACTAAGGCAGTGGTCCAACTTCTGCACATTGTGATGCTATTGCTAATGTAATTAAGTAGGTCACAACTAGGGATTTTCTAAATGCACATACGATTGTTTGAGGTGTTGCACTTTGAATGCAAATGACTTTTTCATATAGCTGCATGTTGCTGTGGTAGTTTGACCTGTAGAGTTACTGGCTTTTATATGCTGATATTATTGTCTTTACCATTATTATGTCAGGAGTCCACTGTTCCTTACAAACTCTTTTAGCCCTGAGAGCAATGTGGCCAGAACTTGTCTGTCTAGTCCCAGGTTTAAAATGTTTCAAGCTTTACATCTATGCTAGTTCTAATCATGACATTGTACTTATGCATAGAAACATCTTTGCCTTTGCCATGGATGCCCCTGGCCTCATTCAGAATTAATCTTATGCCTACTCAGGCATGCATGATCTTCAGAAATGAAAGGTGGTATTATCAGTGGTGTCATCTATCTGTGATCATAGGAATTATTCATGCTGCTGTCTGTTGGTGGTCATGTGAACCATCTGATGTCACATGCATGGAAGGCTGATAACTTCACAGCATATGCTGCATTCTGTTTTTGATCATATGAATTATTCATGGTGCCATCTGTCAGTGGGATGGTTACCCAGTATAGTGTACTGAATTGTTATGTTGCCATTTTAATGTCAGAAGAAGTCTGTTCTGTTGAAGGAAGAGAATTCTTGAGCATTTTCATTTGTATGGATGTATGTGTTATTCTGTAAATGTATCACTTCTGCAAATTAAGATATTAAGTATATGAGTATAATGCTTGTTGCAGTGTGTTTGTATGTTTAACCTGTAAAGGCTGAAATGTGTGTATTTCCTGTGAAATGTTTCTGAGTTGCCATTCAGGGCTGTTTTGTCCCATTATCTCATGATATAGAAACTTTATTTTCGTGGAAGATGAGACGTATTGGTGTCTGAAATGCTTCTGAGGGCTCCTTAGATTGTAAGTGATTCATCTGTAATTTATCGCTCACTTTAACTTTCTGTTTGCTTACTAACATTTCATTTGTTTTCCCACAACATGTCAAACTCAAACAAATATCTAACACCACTGGAAAGGTGTATTTCGTATTGGAATACACACATACATTCTTCACAAATTCTGAATTACGGTATTAATAAAAGATTACATTAGTTATCTTATGTAGAAAACTTTAGTTCCCAACTGTACAATTCGTGTGATGAAAATGCTTTCTGTAAGTAACAAATCAGTACTGCTATGTCATAAGGCGCATGAACTTCTTGATACCATACTGTTCTCATACACATGGGGTCAGGATCAAATCCTCGTCATGTCTGATTTTTTTTTGTTTGCTGCAGTCGTGTTGTTATTTTACACGTTTAAAAGAATTACTTTTCCAATTTTTATATTTTCTGAAAATCAAAAACCATGCATCTGTGCATCATTGTGTGATGCAATTGCAAGTGGTGCTAGTGTTGTCTTACCTTACAAGTTTGTTCACCCACTTTGTTGGGATTACCAAATGTAGGAAATTCCAAAGTATGATTTTAGGGTAGTCCCCAAGTCCATTCCAAGTTCATGCAGTGGTTCTCGACTTGAATCGTGCATTTATTTCATAGACGTCATACAAAGAATGCATAAAGAGCTTGAGAAAGGTGTTGGATGTCTCGTCATTCATTTCATAAAATCCAGACCTCCTTAGCCAGCTTATTACAGAATTAATTTATCAGTAAAGTAATTGTGTAAACACATTTATTAACATTTTGCATTCTGATGCTTTTTTTGCAGTACAGTATTGCCAGCATGTTTGTATAAACTTTTTGACTTTTCTTTAAGAGTAGAACATGATCCTTATATTTGTATCATCTAATTAAGAATCAACCTGTCTAAGTGTATGTTGTGGGTTGTATCTTTATTCCATTATGGCACTGTTTATCTCTTTAAAGAATGTGTTCATTCACCTGGAACATGCTGTCTGTTATCTTTCTTCCTTAAACTGTTTCCATTTTGGTGGCTGTGCATAACATTTCTTGTATTTTTAATATCTGTAAATTAACAAGATTTGGGCTTTGTCCAAACCTGAGAAGTGGAATCTTTTAGATTATTCCTTCATTGAGCTCTCAAAATGTTAAAATGTTCAGGTCTTTAGCCTGTGTTATCTTCATCATTCATTGAGGGAATTTTATTCCTTTTCTTGGCAGCTTCCAGTAACTATGAAGTGCATGTATTGGTGCAGGATGGTGGCCATTTATTGTTGAATGGGGTGTGCTTGCATTGTGCGTGCTGTGTGTTGTGCTAGTGCTGGTTGTTGGTTTCAGTGTTGTCTGCTGCTAGTAGTTGCCACCACCATCACCACCACAACCACCGCATTGTGACCCCACATCATCCGACACAGCTGGTACATCCATCCCAGAGGAGACATTCTGTGTCAGGTACTTCCCCTTCATAAAGTGGAAGAGAGGTTACAGTTACGACGAAAATGGTCACATTGCAGTACAGACTATAGATTTTCATTGCCAGTGGTTACTGAGTAATGTGTCTATAGTCGGAGTATAAGTTTAATGTGGTGTGGTAGTAGAGGTTTGTGACAGTGATAGAGTATTGTCATAGGATTATTTTGTAGGACATTGTCCATGATAAAATAAAATGTATGATAGTTTCAGAGGCTGGCTCTTGTCTCTTGCTGTAAAGTACCCCTCCTTTAAGCCAAGTATAGAGATAGGAACAGCCTTTGAAATGTTGTATGTGAATTTGGATCCAGGAAATGGACGGTGTTGGAAGAAGATGCTCCTAGGATAACACTCGTGTAGCATAGAAAAAATTGGTGTTGTGGTGCTTTCATGTAAAACAATAAGAATCTTGCAGAAGTGATCAGTACATTGAGTCATATATGTACTGGGCAATTCCTGCCAAACTTGCAGGGAATGTTTCTTGAGTTAATTTGAGTAGAAATGGTTGAACATACCCACCGCTCCAACAGTTACAGAGATAAGGACAAAGAAGTCTTAAAAAAGTGAGTTGCTCCATCAACTTTGTTCAGCTTTGGAATAGGACATGTTTGATTGTTCTGACTTGAGGAACATTCCCTACAAGTTTGGCAGGAAACTTCCAGTACATGTGCATGTGGAAAAGGGGCAGATGGATCACACTCCCCATTTGTGTCATTTTGGCATATCTCTCTCTCTCTCTTCCATCTTATATATGATACAGCGTTGCATGTATTGTGTTTAATAATCTATGTGTATGAAGGCAAAGTAATTTCTTAATGCATCATGGATATTGATTGATTGATTAATTATTTAATTGATGGATATGAAGTCTGCTGAGCACAGCAGACTTGGTTCTTCACAACTTTATTCTAGATTTGTTTACACGTATCTGAATATAGGATGTGTCGCTTCGCTGATTGTGAGGATATTGTCTTCTTTACAGATCTTATGCCACTTTTTACAAAATTTGAGCTGTGTTAATCACTAAGGCTTATGAAGACCGAAGAACCACATTTTTTTTTTTGATTTCCTGTGTTTATTTTATTCCACTAGAAATTATTCATGGAAACATGTAGCATATATTCTAAAAACCATTTCTAGACTTATGTACCACATGAGCTGTATACCATGTGTTGGCTGTGTTACAGCCCTTTCCTGTGTGGGAAGTGGGGGTGCAGGTACCCACCAACGTACCTACTCCTTCCCCCTATCTGAGCCAGGACCCCGTACCCCTTGGGAATCTAGGAGAGGGAGCACAGGTCGAACAAACAAGAGAACTTCAGGAAGCATTAATGTGCACAGTATGTATCATGCTCCCTCTCTCTGAAACTCAAGAGTCATGTGTCCTAACCCACATGATAACTGCCTGAAGATTAGCATGTTTCTGGTAAGGGTACATGGAGTATATCATTAACATAAATGCTACCCATCTTGAGGATTGGCATGTTTCTGTTATCAGTATATACATCGTAACATTCCGAGACAGTCCCTGCCTGAGAATTGGTATGTTTCTTAATACATTACATGCATTATGTCACCAACATTGATGCTCTTCACCCAAGATTTGATGTGTTTCTGTTAACAATACAAGCGGTATATCATTAACCCACTGCTTATCATCTGTGGCTTGGCATTTCTGTGTGTGTTTCATATATTGTGTCACTAACCCACATGGGTCTTTGCCTGAGGATTGGTTGGTGTGTTTAAATTAACAGCATGTACAGTGCTGGTGAGTTGGTTTTCTGTGAACTGTTTTGTGTATCTCTGTACTATATAGGTTTCTTCTTTTGGCATTGTAATACAAACTGGTGAGATACTGGCCTAGTACTTTTCCAGCTTGTCATAGTTTATATTGTTTTCTCATGGTAACACATCACATAATCTTAACCGTAAGTGTGAGGTTCACATTGCAAATTCTTCTCTGCCTGTGAAAAGAACCACTTAGCAGTACTCACAGTGAAAGACGTGAAGGGTAAGTGTCAAAAAGTGCAGTCTCATGCAGGCCACTTTGTATGTTGGCAGAATTTTATTTGTGTACAATAAGGTACATGATCAAAATTGCCTAATTTTGTATTGGTTATGTTGTACTCTAAGGTGAATGTGTTTTTGAACAAAATTCTTTCAAGTTTGAATTGGTTGTACTGTAAGTAATATAGGAAGAAAGTTCCTGTAATCTGCTATATAGTAACTGAAAGGATTTTGGAATTTGTGTTTAGTTGCTCTTTAAAAATTTATATGAATCAGAATGAGGAATTCCTTTCCTTCAAGGAATAGCAGCATTGTACCTATCATCATTTTATAGTGTCTCTTGATACCCATTGGTGGGTCCCAGGGGTATGATAAGAGAGTTCTCTCTATTTCAGAGCCTGATGACATTATTGAGCACATCAGAGCCATTTGAATCCACTTTGCATCTTCACAGCTTCTCAAAAATTGGTTTTATTGAAGATTTCCAAAACAGTCTTGTATGGACTTGCATGAATGCTACATGCCCTGCCTTTCTCATTTTATTGTCCCTGACTAGTGAGTGATTGGTCACTGTTCGGGATTTGCCCTGTGTGCTCAGATGAACACGTCATACGTACACAGGCAGTTTGTGCTTAGTCTCTAACACTGAATGTTCCATTTCATATTGCAGGCTCTGGACGTGAGCGTTCAGACAGTGTTCCATCACGGACGCGAACAATCAGCGATGGTCCACACCCTCTGCCACACCTGCACACTTCTCATAGCCTTTTCCCTAACTCTGGCAACAGTCGGCCGCATTCAGTGTGCTGGCCAGCAGGGAGTCCTGTCAGGTGAGTTATTGTAGTGCCTTGAAGTGATGCACTGACTTGTTGGGTGTCATGAGGTGGAGCCATGTATCAACACGACCATGTTTTTGCAGTCCTGCATCGGGTCCATGCTCAACTGACTCGCCAGGTTCGTCCGTATCTATCGAAGAGGGTGACGGAGAAGGTTGGGCAGGCTATGGACACTCCCTGACACCAGATGAACCTGTGATTCTTGAGGAAAACTGCAGTGATGACATCGCATGGCCTGGATCCATGTCACTCTTGCTGCCTGTCCGCAAGTTGTCTCCCAGTCAGGTACCCACTAGCATCAGTGCAGGCTCCCCGAGTCAGGTAAGATATGAAAATGTTTGGAGCTAGGAGAGAGGTGAAATAATGAAATCAAAGGAATATGAGTCAAACAAATATGATTATGTAGCAAAATAATCGTTTCAAGTTTACTTTGGTTGAAAATGAAATAATTGTTTAGAAACTCCTTTTGTCATTGAAGTAATTCTGTTTCTGTGGATTGGGTTTGTCCATGTTCTGATGGAGGGCTATGAAGCTGACTCGCATCAAGTATTCTTTCATTTGCCCTCTCTTGTACCATTTATATGAGTCATCTACAAAATTTATTTTACAACTCTTTCTTGTTTACTGACCTGTTTGCTTTCTTTTTGTTGTACTCCCTTTATTCATATTTTATACTGCCAAGGCCTATGGGTTTATGTACTCTGTCACCAGCAGGAGTAGTTCGTGTGTTCTGCAACATTAGAATAATTAAATGAGGTTATGATGGGTCAGATATATATTTTAGGAGAGGAAAACAAGAATTGTGAAATGAGGTTTTCATGGCAGAGAGGATGATGATGCTCTTCTGGGTTCAGAAACTGTGTAGACTTATTAGTAGATGCCAGTGTTTCTCCAATATATTGGTAGCAACTGAAGAGTCTTCATGGTACCAAAACAAAGAAGAACAGCATCATCAAAACAAGAATTGTTAACAGAGTTCTGATGGAAAACTTTTCAGAAGCCAATTGGAAAATGGAGAAGGATCAGTATTTGAATTTGTCTAGTATAGCTTTGAGAGACAGCTTCTCTGTGTCTAGGTAGAACCTCTTTACCTTTGGTTTGAGGAATTCTGATCAGAATGTGCCATGAATGTAATACTTCTCTTCTTTGCTTTTTTTTCTTCTTTTGTAATCAATCCTAGGATTGATTGGCAGCAGCTTGGGCTGATCCTGAGGATCTTTGATGCGGTGGATTCCCCTTGCCTTCCAAATCCTATGCCGTTGACCCATCCGGGTTCATCCGCCTTTAGGGGCATGAGGGTGTCCTGAACCTCCACCCACTCATCCACTCTCCGAAAAGGCTGTTGGCACTTGGTAGACGGGGACCACTTATACTGGTGGTCACTCGGTCTGTGGACGCAGTTTAGCGTCATGCCCGGGCTTCTTTGCTTAAAGAATGTCTAAAGACTGAATAAAAAGAAACTGGGCCTTACTTAATGGTTTTTATGTTGCAGGATGCATACAGTCTGCACAGCTCATCACCATTGGATCCATTGGGAGGATACATGACCATGATTCAGCATGATACAGGTAGATCTGTTGAAGAAGGAACAATCAGCATATAGGATTTGTAGGCAAAACGTAACCACATGTGATATGTGCACATGTCAGAGTTTATACACCATATCAGTCCAGACACCTGATATTTTATGTGTAGACTCTGTATTAATGCAGATTGTTCTTAAATATATTTTTCTTTAAATTTCCACAGGGACCAATTACTGACAAGCTGATTGAATGTTATGGTTCCTAATGAAACAGAGAAAATGTAATGTACTAAGTACTGCAGATTATATCAGTTACATGCTTTTATGGTATGTTTTTCCTGCATGCATATGCACCATTTTTAAAACTTATTGATTTTCATGAACTTTGCTATTTTGTAGTAGGGGATTTAAACCCACCATAGTATGTAGCTGCTGGCCAGACTTTAACTATGTGATTAATGGTGTAGTGGTACACTGGTGCAATGCACTGCCAACTGGATCACGTGTAAGGAGTCGCATATGGACGGTAACAGTTAAATATTCAGTGAAAGTGAAGAATAAGTTATTTATATCAGAACTTCCCCATTTTTAGCTTGCTTGTAATCATTATAAAAATCTTAAAACTTTGCATACTGTGTAGTATATTAGAATATAAAATAATCAAACAAACAAACTATTAAACACTATAAAAAAGACACTAGTGCCATACATGTTTCAACCTCAAGAGGTCATAATCAGTGGCAACAAGGAAATTAATTAATTTAATCAAAATGGTTTAAAATTTGTCTAAATATGGTTTAGAAAACAAATAATGAAGTGGAATATTTTACAAAAGCATATCAAGGAACACTACACAGGTACGGACGACACAACAACGGCTCGCCGCAGACCAGCTACGGCCACCGGACCATCGGATCAATAGCTAAGTGCAGAGTTCAACTCCTGTGAAACCAACATCTAGTTGTTGGATGACATTGTTGCAACAGTGGCCTCAGATCAAATTATTCCATCAGTGCCGTTATGCATTTGCTATTTCCATGCTGTCATGCTGATGTCAGTGCCCATGATGTGGCATGAAGAATGTCTTTGGAATTTGAGTCTTCTCCAAAGAGTACACTTTTCCAATCCTGCTCTGTGTTTTTTAGCATAAGAATGGCAGGGGGTCATTCTCATATACAAGTTCACCGTACTTGTGTTAGCTCCATTTCTCCAGGCAGTCTTTTGCTTGCTGGGCTGAGTACCCACATTGCTTTTTTCCACTCGGAACAACTAAATCACATTTATTTCTGTCTCCTCCTCCTCCTTCTAAAAGCATAACATTCCTGTGCTCAGTTAAGCACCCACCATACTATGAATATATGGGTGATTGGCGGTATAGCTCTACATATTCTTAATCTCAGCATAAGAGTGGCCAGCTTCATGCTCTAGCTGCTTTGCTTCTGGAGAAAGAGGCCTTCACCACCCAATATATATCACTTTGTGTGGCCTCCAAAGCCAATATGGATGTGGTGAGGAGAGAAGATTCCCCTTCTTTCAGGAATTGAGCCTTGGATGTTCTTTGTTTTCTTTCGTAGTGAGAAATTCTGGGAAATTTAAGATGTACGTACATGAGTCAGTGAACAACAACTGATGGCTTTGAATTGTAGATAAATCTACTAAGTAAGTATCAATTGTTCACAGGGACAGGGGTGTCAGAAGCGAGTGCACGTCGGCATGCACCAAGCTCTTCCAATCACAGTCATGCCAGCAGTCTAGCTGAGGAGACACCAAATGGCTACGTGCCAATGGCACCTATGGATGATGGCTATGTGGATATGGAACCAGTGCAGCTGGGGCAGAGGTACCATGGTGAAGGTGAGATGAGATGAGGGCTCATTGTGGTGTCCTCAGGGGAATATGTCGTTATTTTTCGTTTTTCAGAACACACATTTACTCTTATTGCATAAAGAAATTATGTTTGTAAGCCAGAAATTGAATATTTTTGCCCAGAAGTAGTTAATTTGCTCTGTTGAGCTACTGAGACTGTATCCGAGTTGTGTGCTGAGAGTGAAGGAATCTCGGTTTGTATGATACGATATCTAAGAATGCATAATAGTCTCCACACACACACTTCTCTTACACTTGTACAGGAGTAATACATTTTTATCTCATGTTTTGGCTTTATTATTATGTAATTCGGGATGTCTGATATTAAACATGCACTGTTTGTTGATAGATTATGCTCGTGGAGAAATGTCTCCTTCTAGTAGCTGCTCCATCACATCTGGAACTCCATCCACAGATATGCGGTTCTCTGAATACCACTTGGAGAAGGTTAGCTCGTATTTCACTCCATCAGAAGAGGATGAGACATCGTCGCTGGACCGACCGATGCGGGCTTACTCTGTTGGCTCTCGTCCAGATGCAATGAAACGAACTAACAGGTAACTCCTTCATGCCCTGGCTTGTGTTCTGGTGCTCTTCATGAGTAGTTAGAAAAATATTATGGCTGGAGTCTATGAGAAAGTGGAAAGTAAAAAAGGTGTTAATGTTGTATTTGCTTTTGCTGGATTTACAGGCTGGACATTGTGAATCAGACAGATGCGTTGCGGGTTCGAGCATTCTCTGTGGGCAGCCGGACAGTGAACAAGCTGAGCTCACGGGCACTGGCATATGATCTGTACATGACGCGCCAACATCCTATGCTCACACCACCACACCACCCAGGGGGTCATCATTTGACTCCCACCCCCACTGCAGGAGGCAAGAAGTCTCTGTCTGCCCCACTGCTCTGCAACTCGTGGTCAGGAGGTGGCACATTGCGTCACCACCTGCATGGCAGTAGCCACTCATCTGTGGAGCCAATGGATGACCTAATGGAGATGGACTTCACACGCAATTCACGAATCAAACCCAAGGCAAATCCTGGTGGCAATAAATTGGAAGACCGGACATCTGTCATCAATGGCTATGTTGATATGTCCTCACGTTCCACAGCCTCTAAGCAGGCTGATACAAAGTCAGGAAATATGGTGGCTGCATCCCCTCCTAAATCAGTTATCCCCACAATCTCTTCAAAGACCAATGTTGATTATCATGCTCAGAGTCCACCAGTACCCACTCCAGTCAAACTCATTGGTTCATCCTCCATGTCTCCTAAGAATGTTGGGCCATATATGGAGATGCGGCCTGGATCATCACCACCTGCAAAATCTTCTGTGGTGCAGCGGAAGACATCCACAGTAGACCCACCATTCCCAGAAATCAAAGTCTTAAGTAGTCAGCCTACAAGTGATGGTTTATCTGATGGTACACAGAACACAAGCAGTCTCTCTCCCTACATGGAGATGAAAAGTGAGTTGTACCACCACAGTTTCCCAGTGTCCTCGGGATGCCAGAACCGGAAGCCAACATCACCCATACAGGAGGAGTACATGGATATGGCCAAACCAAGCAGTGTTGAGAGTAGTATGGGAGTATCTACTGTTGCACGCACTGCACCAGTGGACACTCCACAGCCAAAGAAACCTCCAGAAGGTTATGTGGAAATGGCATGGACAGGTGGATCGAAGCCTTCTCACCGCTCATCACTGGAGACTTACAGGTCAAACAGTGAAGATTACATGAACCTCTCATTTGAAGGACGTGGGAACAGTAAGAGGAAAGATAAACGAAAGGGTCGGTATAGTTCCCAGCCAATTGCCATTCAGGCTCGGGAATTGGAGGCTGGGACAGTCACTGGCAAGTCACAATCTTCATCCACCAGTCCTGTTTACTCACTGTCTGGCTTGATAGGTCGCAAGCACTCCAGTGGTACGCCACCAAAAGTCCCACCTCCTGCCTTCCTTCCTTTGGGCCACACATCTGGCATCTCTCCAAGCTCAAGTCCCAGTTCCACCCTGAGGCGCACTCACAATCACAAGGCTAATCGACGAGACAGTATAGAGAACACTGGCCTGACCACTCCAACAGGTTCCTCTGTGACGATATTCCCATTCAGTCTTAACAGCCCAGGATCACCAATGAAACCTTTCCCAGGACAGCAGCAAAACAAGTCACAGCTGCCACCCTTGGCAACAGCTCCTGGTACAGATATAAACTATGAGCTCTCACGAAAATGCCTGGTAGATGCCACTAGTGGCACAGTGCGGCTATCCTATCCGGGAGATCCATACTCTCCAGAGTCAACCACCACAACTCCAGATTCCAGCAGCTCATCATCCGAGCAACCTACACCTGTTAATGTAGAGTCATTAAATGACTTGAACAAGGTCGAATCACCCAGAATCCACAACTATGTGAACTATAGCCCTCTCCATCGATCAAAAGAAGAGCCAGTGTATGCCGTGATGCGGCCTGTGCCATCACGCAAGATTTCTGTCCCTGCAAGGGTCATGAATTTGAAGACTGATAGCATGGACCTTACACCCATTCCAGATTCTTGGAAACCACAAAGCACTGCCATGTTTTGCCTCAGTGAGACAGTCAGTACACCAAAGTTGGTCACCAGCTCCACTGTTGCACCAAACAAGGAAGCAGTCCAATTTGGTCGGCAGAATGTCACTGCATCTGACAACAAAGTTGGCAAGGTGGGGACAATAGCCTGGCAGCCTTCTGGCTCCAGTACAAGGCCTGCAGATGCCAGTAACATTGGCAAGATCTCCAGGCAGCCATCTGGCTCCAGCCTGGGGTCTGCTGAGGGTGCCATCTCTAGACAGCTTTCCAATTCGAGTGTGGAGTCAGTGGTTGCAGGTCCAGCGTCATCAGTTTCTGTTGGCTCACCGACTTCTTCCCGCCCCCCATCTGTGAGCAGTGAACGTGAACTCCACTATGCCTCATTAGACCTTGCTCCTAGTGGATCAGAAGGAGAAGATGGTTCACGCAGTCCCCATAGCATTAAGGCACAAGGATCTCTCACTGAGTCCTCTACCTCCTCACCTAGCCCCAACCCTGTTAACCAGGGAACAGGGGAATCAGCCTTCACATATGCCGAAATAGATTTTGCTAAGAGCGAAGGGCTACGTAATGTATCATATTCACTCAACAGAAAATTGCGGCACTGAGGTGCTAATCGCATTCCAAGCGGTTTTGCAGCATCTCTCGAGCCAGTCAGGCTGCACCGTTCAAGTGATGTGCAAGTTTCATGTAGGTAGCAAAATGTTCAGGGCTTATGTTTCATTTATCTGAAGTCTGATTATTTTAGTTATAGCTTGGCCTTACAGGAAGCTACTAGACTGATTTCATAGTTCCTGATATTGGATGGACCAGCTTTCTGGTCATTCCCATAAAGATTGTTTCTTTTTTCATACAGGGTGATTGTAAAGTAACTTTACTGTTTCCATGTTCCGTTTCTTTGAGATGGTAGTGTACATGTATTACCACTTTTATCTTGTTTTTACAACCATCGTTTTAACCCTTCCCAAGCAGGTATGTATGTGATATCTGCCAAATGATATTGTGTTGCTGTGTAGTCTAGTAGGTGGTAATCAAGTACAGTATACACAACATCGCAATCCAGAAGACAGCAACCCACACTTTATTGCTGTGAGAACCTCAAATCTGATATATTACAAACGATGTTTGTGTAAATTGTACATTGATGACCCTTCTGTTGAACACAATTTTCATAGCGTTCTCCGCCTGTACAGGAAATGAGTACCATATGGTTTCTTTATGTTGAACTAAAAAGCATGACAGGAAAGTATCCAAGTTCTACCATGAATTACCATATTTTGTGCAGAACCGTTTCTTGTGCTTCTAATTTATTCTCAAGTAAAAATAATTCCATTCAAAGTGGTTTTCTTGTTGCTCATATCTGTCTCATGAATGGTTAAAGGCTACAATGCATATTTGAGCACTTCTTTCTGACATGGAGAAAAGCTGATGTTTTAGAGACATACTACCTAGAACTGGTTATTTTAAGCCACCTGATAGCTACAGTCTAGTCGTCCATTGAGAGTACAAACTTGCACATTGCTTCTGAAGAGTTGCTGCTGTATATCTCAAAGCAGAAGTTCCTCATTTTCTTTATTTATTTGTCTTCCTTCTACTTACATCACAATTTGGTATTAAGTTGCAGCTGTTCAGTGGGAGTCACTTGCGTGAGATTAACAGTATTTTGAGTTTCGATGATGTGAACAAATGAAGGCAAGTAGTTCTGTGCAGCATTTAATTCAACCATTTCCACACACCTGTTTGGAGACGTTCTGTTTCCATTCACCTCACCCAATGAAAATTCCCTCTGCTATGAGATTTGGTGAATAATGATGCAATTTCCATATCTGGTCAGTTGGGAGGGGGGGGGGGAAGGGTCACTCTTCTTGTCAGTTTTCTGTTACATGTGATAATCATTTCGCCAGTGAGTAACTTTGCATTTATCATATTTAATGATTCAGATATGTGATCAAGTCATATTAGACCTAACCAATGTGTCCCACTTTTTTTTTAATAATAAAAGACATGAAATTGTAAAAATGTTTATTATTGTGATTTGTGTTACCACTTACTATATATACTGCCACATGCTGAAACTAATGGGTAACTGAGATTTTGTTTGTAATATTATACTTGTTATTTTTTGTGTGATATAGGCCTGTGTATATTTTACAGATAAGAGATACTACCCAATAAAGGTTAAGAGCTGAAACAGATTGCATTTCCTTGGAACCCATGCATTGGCTTGTCTGTAAATCTGTTTCCATGGTTACTATAAGGAAACATTTTACTGTTATTTGTGAATGATTCCCTCCCTGAGCTGATCAAGAATGTCATAGACTATGGTAAATATATGTATGTACCCTTTAATGAATTATGTATTATTATTTTCTCTCTTTACAGCTCTCACATTTCCATTTACGTTGCTGTCATCGCATACCTTTCTTTTGGGAGACATGGGTATATGGAAAGTACAATAATAATGTATGAGCGTATCACCTCAGTTCATCAAATTTTAGAAAAATCTGTTAACAATCAGTATCAGTAAATTCTATACTAGTTCAAATGCAGGAAGTTTAGTCCCTTCAAAGTTGGCTTATGCATTTTGAGAATCTTCCGTGAATTAGCTTTGAAAGTACACTTATTTCCTAATAACCTTTTCCATGGAAACATCCACTATATGATTTTTCACAAAGTTTAGACTGCAATCATTCTATAATCATTAGTTGCATCAACATGCTTTTACATCGAATTGTAGATGTGCAAGGTACATACTTTTGGGGCATATTTGCCTTATTGCTGTTTTTGACCCACTATTTTAGGTCAAAACTTACATTTCACAGTTTTTGTAAGCTAGCAAAAGATTGAGATTTATGATACATATCTCATTGCTGTTAACAGATACAAGTATGAAACTTTGTACTTATTACCATATAAAGGACTCTCAAGATTATAAATATTGAAGTCCCAGCATCAGGCAGTTCCGATTTAACTGGGGTGGAAAAAGGTTGCACTTTTATTATATTGCAAAGAAGGTCCACTTCCATACTTCATTTATGCAGGTCTGACAGCTCAGATACATCATTCTTACTGAAACAGATTGACATGAAAATGGTACATTCAAAATTCAACATTGCATTCCTGTTCTACTGTGCAATAACGATATTTGTGTTTTTAGATGGCATATGGCTACTGAATTTGTTGACTGGCACCCAGAGTGAAACATTAAGCTAGGTTAGGCTAATTTTGGTTAAAATACCTCTATGGAATTTATTCAAGATAAGTTACACATTGGTACATTATAAAGTTCATCATCGTGACATGGCTTGTCCTCTGGCTTTCTATGTAGGAGGCTGCAAATTCTAGAAAAAAGAAGTCTCAAGAGAGCTGGGAGGGGGTTAGTCCCCAGGCTTTGGGGTTGAAGTAGGATTAACAACTAACTGCGATGACATGGTGTTATGAAATGTTGCCCAGGCCCTTAGATTTCATATAAATTTGTACTGAGAGAAAAGCGAGATGTAGGATGTTCCTGAATACGACACATGGACAAGCTAATAATTTTATACTTCCATTTTACAAATAACAAAAGACGGATGTTTTTGTTTGTTAATTAAATTGTAACGTTCTAAAATACTCTAGAGAATTATACCTGGAATAGAAACAGTTTACCTATCTAACCCAAGATAAAAATGCTTTAATTTTTAAAAATATAAAGTAAAATTTGCTTAATGAATAAAATAATATATGACGCAAATACTAAATCTTTACTATTCCTTTTTTTTTGGGGGGGGGGGGGGGGATTACATGTGGGTTGGAATTTAGAATGTCAGGAATCTCTCCATGGAGGTCTTCTGGACTGTGATTCCATATTTTCATCCTAAACTTTGGAATACATTTACAAGTCCACATGGAATGGTAATTGCCATGAGAAACAGTAAGTCAGGTTGGGTATGGGAGAGGAAGCTTGTGGGGTAAAACCCCTGGACCAGGAAGAACTGGAGGGTTGGTCCTACTGAGGATGGATGTTGGAGTGACAAAGAGTCCCAGAGGTGTCAAGCTCAATCTTGAGATGTGCAGTCCCCCAGAAAAGGTAAAGCAATGGATTCTGAAAGCCTGGGGATGCATGAGAGATTATGTCTCAGGAGGGCAAAGGCCTTGGCACAGCAAATGTGAGGGACTTGGTCCGTGGAAGCAAGAAAATACTGGGAAAGGGTTAGGTTTGTTAAGTTATGGGGATGTAGCCCAGTTTGGAGCAAGATTGTGGCTACGTTCTTGAAGTATTTGCGAGGGGTGCAAGTCCCAAGCCTATGGTGGAAAGTCTTGTTGGTGGTCTAACCCAACATGGTGGAAGCCCTATGGTATCTACGCGCAGCGAGAACAAAATAGGTTCTGAATGCCCAAGAGCTCCTGGAGCTGGGCTCCAAGGAGTAAACATACTGGGGAAAGGCCATAAGTATGTTAATTTCAAGGGTGGAAGGATAAACATAAAAAGAAACACAGACACTTTATTAAATGCTAGTAGACGCCTGTTATTTTTACATACATACTACATGGGTGTCTATCAGAATGTAATGCCGGTGTCCTTTTAAGATGAAAAAATGTTTTGCCCTGTCTTCCGCCAAGAGATTCGATATCACGGACAATTTCATGATTGTTCTATCTTATGCACAATATATCCCTTTCTTCTCCAATGGCAGCCCGGTTTAAATACAGCGCGAATGAACTTATGATAAAAGTGTTAATAAGAGCTAACACAATGCATTCGATAAAACCTGCAGTTGAGGTGATTCTAACATAGTATACCGATCCAGCTCTACCCTCAAACTTTTCTATATGTTGGTACTATCTCCCTTTTCATAACACGGGTTCCTTTCCCACCATTAATTAAAACACTTTGACAGAACAAGCAACGTTTAAAGAATTTATATACCCCAGGCTTGTGTACTGCAAGATTAGGGTTTTCCTCGAACCTGAGGTTTTATAATCTGTGACTCACACTGCTTTAAATTCGCTTGGAAGATAACTGAATGGGGGGGAATTTGGGATTCTCGTTAACTATGGTGACTTGCTTATCATTAGGCCACGTCAAGTGTTGTGCAGTGATAAAGGATATGTGTACACTGCAGAATAATAATAGCTCACGGCGTAGCAAGTACGTAACAGTCTTGATTCAGAATCAGCTGATTAGATCCGCGTTTTTGTAATTTTGATAATTACCATGGATTTCGAAACAAAATATAACGTAAAGAGCCCAGGTAAGCAACCTGAATTGTAAACTTGGTTAACTGCAGTTGTGACTGCGCGCGGAGGGAGAAAATTGCGTAACGAAGAGTATCATAACTTCTACGTTTCACCCAATATAATTAGGGTAATCAAATTAAGGAAGGTAAGATGGGCGGGGCACGTAGCTTACATGGGTAGAACAAATGTTGGTATGAAAGCTGAATGGAAGGAACCACTTGCAAGACCTGGGTATAGACAGATGAGAGGGTAATAATAAAATGGCTCGTAGGGAAACAGGTTTTGGAGATGTGGATGTGATTCAAATGGCTCAGAATATGGTCTGGTAGTGGATTCTTGTGAACATTGTGATATTTTCGGTTCCATAAAACGTAGGGAATGCCTGGCTGAGTTTAGAAAAGTGTCTTAAGAGGGATTGTCCTTCATGCAATTTGTTTGTTACTGCAGCTTTGTCTTATGAGCTATGTAGTACACATTAATAAAATGTTAACATGAAAATTTGTTTACATAGTATTTGTTGTTTCACTTCAGCCGTAAAGAGGTTGATGAGGGAAGCATGCGAGTTGAAGGAGCCTACAGAGGAGTACTGGGCACATCCTGTGGATGACAATTTGTTTGAGTGGCACTTCACTGTACAAGGGCCTCCAGCCACTGACTTTGAAGGAGGCGTGTACCATGGGCGAATTCTATTTCCAACGGAATACCCTATGAAACCACCAAATATAATAATATTAACGGTACTCGTATATTATGCATACATATATAATTAATTTTTTCACATTGGTTCATTTATTAATTTGTTTGTTCATTAATTCATGTATATATTGTCAGACCATGTGATTCTTTGTAAATTATAAATAAGGATGAGGGAATGTTGGAAGTGTTCCTGACTGACTGTGACTTCAGCTGACACGTTTGTTGACTTGTGGGCACATTGAAACATATCAATAATAGAAATCCACAAACCATTGCATGAAACATAATAAAGTTACCAGATGCCACACATCAGAACTCTTCTACCATACCACCCAGATCTGATACCATGTCAAGTTAGTATGGGGAACAATAATGAACTGGGTGGCCAAGAGATATTAAATTCAAAATAGATGTGTGATCCAGCTTACTAGTATGAAGTATATGTCCATCACGAAAGGAGATAGGGTACATTTTGTGAACATGTGAAATGCACTAAAGAACTTCCCAAATGGTCCATTGGAAAACAGTCAGGTATTGTAATTTGTGTTTTCATATTATTATTAACCAAGAAGTGTAGAAATAATACAGAGTGGAAACATATGATCAGTAGTCATCAGTAAAATGATGATATATAATTTGAATGTGTACTATTGCAAACAAGTCAAAATTAATATGTGTATAACATATAACAGTTGATAACTTTATTACATATTTATATTATGTATGGGCATTTTTGTAGGCAAAATAATTAGTACATATTTCTGCTGTAGACTGATAACAAAAAACAATACTGCTACATTCACATTTTGTAAAAGGGTTGTTATTTGAAACTATGAAATGGCCCATGAAGAATGATGGAAAAGTCTAAAGTAGTACTTAAAAAAACAATTTTTTTAAAAGTGTAACAAAGCATCATATGAAAATTAAAATAATTAATGTTCTTTGCATAATTGCATAATTGTTTTGATGTATTGTGTAGTGCATGTAGTAAGCAGGTCTTGGATGAGTGAGCAATCACTTGTTTTAGTGCATTGTTTCCACAAAGCAGTATATAAACTTTAGAATTAAATAATGTGTAACAAAAAAGTCAATATCCTTACTTATCTTTTCATAATTAAAGAATATAACATGGATTCATGTACCACAATCTCAGACATGATCTTATATTAAGGTTATAATAACTGTGTTGTGCATTTACACATGTATGCAAGCTGGAAGTGATGAATGTTTACACTTGGCATCATAATTCCAGTAATTTGTAATCTCCTTGTATTTGTCCATTTGTGGATTTTCTCTGTCTCCATTAATTTACTTATGCCAGACATGTATTAAGTAAAGACTACTATGTGTACCATATTTGTGGAAAAAAACGAATATTATTAATGGACTTTCAAGACATGGGACTAGTTTGGGTGGCGGAATGAATATGAAGACTATACTTCTCTTGACTATTCTCTATCCATTAGTGGACAGTTTTTTATTTGACTATATGCTTCAAAGTTTTGATAAGGAACTTATATTAAGAGCATTAATTGAAATGGATACCAAAACATGCAGATTGTGATATTCCAAAGAGAATATATAATTGTTGTTTGTCTGTGAAGAAAATGCTGATCCACTTCTTCAGTCTCATTAACCAGCCATTGGTCACTTTAACTCATTTTAATTTTTCATAAAAATTCTTGGATTTTTGTAAAAGAATGCTGCATATGATGGGAGTAATCGTTGACCTGGCCTGTTTGAAGAAAACCAACGGTGTGTCATTGACAGTTTGATTTTACCCTCAACACTTTTTATGCTATTTTTATTAGTCCGACCTTTGTTATTTCTGTGTCATGAGATATTAACAGTTTTATATTGACTGAGGCACTCCTAATTTAGCATTTACTTCTCTTTGGGAAAAACTGCTTATATAAACTTGTCATACGTGTCTGTAAGACAACTTTTCTGTTGCACTGATGAATGACGACGAATGATGATGAAGTCAAGTGAGCAACTGATTGAATAAAGCATAATTGGAGACTGCAAATACAGTATACTCTGGATGGTCATATCATGAATGCCAACCCTGTGCTTATCTGTAGAATAGGTTTTAAGTAGCAAAACTGTCTCTGTTACTGACATTGGCATTAGAAAGGTGTGCTCCTGACAACATGGTGCTGTGGAAAGAGATTTTTAAAAGGTGGCAGATATGTAACCAGTAAAATAGTGTTATAAGGAACAGTTGTAAACAACACAAAATCCTCGTAAAAATGAGTCCTTTCATGTCACCAGTTCATAATGTTAATGTCAGGAGTATAGCAGTAGCGACCTTATTTGGCTGATGGTTGATGAAATCATCTGGGACTTGATACATGGGCTGTATGTTAGGCCAATGTTCCTCAAAGTTTCTTCACTTGTGGTGCACTACAAGTTTTCACCTCATGGAAAAGGGAGTGTGAAATTATCCATGGCCATAAATATAAATGTACATGAAGATATCTGTCTTCTGGGTTATTGCGCTGTGTAGTCTGGTCGATGTTAACCAACGTTTCAGAGGTCATACTGCCTCCATCATCAGGGCGATGAATATGCCAATAGGGTGTGAGGAGCTGGATTTATAGGCCGGGAAGTGAAAGGTGTAGCCTGCCCCGAGCCAATGGGAGCAG